ATTTGGTGTGGCTCTATAGCCTCGTTTTTAAGGTAGTTTTTGGTGTAGGCCGCGCGCGCACTTTGTGGTCGCGCGCACTTTGTGGTGGGGCTAGTTATTCTCGGCCACTCGCTATACTTTGACGTTATAGTTTTTTTTATACTTAAAAAAACCCCCCCAGAAAAAAAACTAAGAATAAAAGAAGCTAGGACCAAATCTGGTCGATAGGAAAAGTGGTGAAAGAGAGAGAGAGAGAGAGAGATAAAAAAAAATAAGGGTAATACAGTGGTTTGGGTATTTGTGTGTACATATGGACGGGGATGTGCCCTGGTTCACGTGAAAGGGGAGGATGGGGGGTGGAGATGAAGGCTGTTTTGGGAGATGGGAGAGAGAGGGGGGGGGAGGTGCAAGATCCGATGCTTCGGACGATACAACTCGGAGGGTGACGAGAAGGCGAGAGAGACAAAAAAAAGGGAAATATAGGTTAGCAGGGGCTTATTAACCTGGTGACGTGATATGTATGTGGAGTGCGTGTCGAGTGAGAAAGGAAATCGCAGATTCCATACATACTACTTAGCCCCTAGTTTTTTTTTTAAAAAAAACTTTCTCGCTCGCTCTCAAAGAGTGTTACCACATGCTTCCTTTCCACTCAGCATGCCAAAACACCTCGCTACCCACTCATCTACTCATCTCATAGTTCGCAATACGCAGTCTGAGCCGACCAAGTGCGCGCTCCCTAAGTACGCGTCCATACGATAGTCCGATTTTTTTTTTCTCCCAGGAGGCCGAACACGGCATTGAGTCATCATTTGCCCACACGGCATCTCGACACGGAGCGGCCTGGGATACCGATGCGGAAGCCCTTAACCTAGAAAGAGGGGCCTCGCCCACTACCGTGTTTCCCGAAAAATACCCGCGTCTACGCCCCCCCTCCCCCCCCCGTGCTTGCGTCGTGAGGGACATGGACTGGGATTCCGCGAGTGGTCATAGAACGCATTGTGATATAGAATGCACGGGCAATGTGTATACGTACGTTGTTTAGTGAGGCTTGCCGAGGGGGTGGTGCAGCACGGATGTAGGGAATAGGGACATACATGTTGCTTTGTACATGTTTGCGAGGTGCATGTGTCTTGATGTACCTGCTGGTTGTTTGGACTTGGGAAGGCTTGCAATGGTACTTAGTAGATACTCACGTGCACTTTTCACGAGCCATGCCGTTTCCCCTTCCGTACCCAAGTCTACCAAGCCAAAGCGAAAAGGAAAACTGCGCTCTCCATTGCCTCGGACCAAGGTCACGTCTACATCGACCGAGTGAACAAAAAGAGTCGAGCGAAATGGAGCCTCGAAACACGCTTTCGCTAGCTTACACATTAATCAAAATGATGAGCAAACTCTACTAGAACGATGGGTTGGTTCAAGTGACTTTCCTGAAATGCTGGCGATATGGTGAAGAGTACATAGCCATGCCCGATGTATATAGCCTACAATAGCTCTCTATGCGAACTATTCATGTACATACTAGGAAATAAAGATGAACAGACGACCAGAGCACCAGCGACGTGCAAACACGCCTCCTCCATCTCTTCTCACCCAAAAGAAAAGAAAAATAATCGAGATACTTACCAAACGAACAAACTCATACACGAGCGTCAAAAAAGTTTAAAAAAAAAGCTAGAGACTTACACACGGGAGGCACTAAAACTCGAACAGCCGCTATTAGGCCTCCTAAGGATTCGTTCAAGGTACCAAAAAAAGGAAAGCACCTTACGCCCGAAGACGCAAGCAGGTGTAAGTTTTGCTGGACTTTTTGTAGCTACTTTCCTGGAGTATCTTCTCAGCAACAAACACTATATACCTATTTTACTGCAACATTTCCCATTGTACAAGCCCGTCAGTTCCGCAGCGAGGAAAATACGAAATACGAAATACCAACAACGATGGTAAGCCTCGTACGTACTGCGGCTGGGGCCGCGCTGATGCCTAGAGTGGAGCTGAACTAGTACTACCCAGTACGGATGAATGGGGTGGATGGATCTACGCGCGTATTCGGGCTGGGGACGGGACGCCTGACCGTGTTCCCCGTTTAACCACATACTTGTACATATACGGAGCTAGTAGTACTAGTAGGCGTACGGCCCGTCGGACTCCGTGGCGGTGGTAGTGCTGATGCTGATGCTTGCTGGTGGAGGAAAGAGGAGGTGGGGGCCACGCGTCAGCTGGTAGCCGCGCGTGATATACGCAATGGGGGTTCTGAATGGGAGAGGGGTAGTCAGGCTGGCTTTGTGTGCATGTGGGCGGGAGTGAGACTGAGAAAAGGGCCATCGCTTTTTAGGTTTCGGTCTGAAACAGAGCTGAGGTGAGACTTTGGCCGAACCTTGGGCTGGGCGCTAATGCCATCCATGAGTAAGGTGTGGGAAAGACATGCGGAGAGAGAGAGAGAGAGAGAGAGAGAGAGAGAGAGATGGGGTGAAAAGACGCTCAAACAACTGCAGAGTGCCAGATGTATGTTTTTTATTAGGAGGTGAATGTGTTTTGTATGTATGTAACATGGACGGAAGTAGAGAAGCTGCGAACTTTGTAAAGCACCGGCAAATTTATGCCTCGCGAACATGACATAGGAAAACAAAAGTCTGTCTCTCTTCCAGGGGTGTGGCGGTGTTTGTTTAGCACTTATTAGAGAAAAGTGCGGCCCTTTTGAACCCTCAGCAAATATGACAACGCCGTAGATGCAAAAAAAGATAAAGAAGATGGTGAACAGAGAACTTGCCCAGGTATCGAACAAAGTCGAAGAGAGAGGAGAAAAAAAAGAAGTTGCAAAAGGAAAAAAAGTTGCAAAGACCAGACTGTCGGAACCTCAAATCGACGCCGAAGCAAGGGAGACCAAATCACTGGGTCAGCCCAATTGCAGGTACAAAGACAATAGGAATGTGCTGGAGGAGCAAGGTAGCCATGGATATAACGCCGTCAAAATGCAAATCTTCACCCTAAATCCTCCCATCCTAACCTAAACCGCCGGTCGTGATTCATAGATCGTCGTCGAGATCGATCGCATCTGGGTTGGGGGTTGCCTCTTCGACGGGCTTGATGTTGCCGCCCTGGGGACCTGTGCTAGCAGCGACAAAGCCAGCAGGTGCACGAGCTTGGCGTTCGAGGGCAGCCATTGCGTCCTCGTCGGCATTGTCTGCAGTTCCCTCTTCGTCGTCGGCGGATGTATTGTTTTGTTGGCCGCGAGCGACAGCTTGGGAGGCGATAAAGTTGACGTCGGTGCTGGCTTCGTGTTAGCAATTTGGCTCATTCTTCTGAAAAGGTATGGCACGCACTTGTATTGAGCTTGGACGCTTCGCTTGATGCGTAGCATCTCCTTGTAGGTGTCTTCGTTTCCATGCTGGACTTCGAAAGACTCCCACTTCTTCCAGAACTCGGGATTCGTCCTCGGATCGCAGAATTGGCTGGCATGGCCATAGATGGCTCGCGCTCGGTCGATTTCTCCCAGACGTCGCTCCATCTCAGCAAACTTGAGACACATTTCCTTGGCTTCAGCATCGGGCAGAGCAGCAATGGCGCGCTCGTAGATTGGTCGTGTTGAAGTGAGACCAAAGTTGGACGCCGACTTTGTAATGTAAAAGTTGAACATCTCCATCCGGTCTTCGTCCGCTACGGCACGCGTAGCACGTTCGTAAATGCGCATCGCGTGCCTGGCCAGGCCACGGTCTTCCTCAAGCGCACCGTACATGAGATACAGCACCTTGGCGAACTTGGGTGGACAGTCTTCCACCGCCTGCTCGAACAGATCACGCAGCCGCTCCATTCCAATCTTTCGGTCGACGGCTTTGGTGAGGTAGAGATTCCAGATCTCGAAAGCGACGGGGTAGCTGAACAGATCCAGTCCACGCTCGTACACTTTGAAGCACTCCTCGTAGTACTTGTTTTCCTCCAGTAGGTTTGCGTAATTGACAATGGTCTGTGGCGTAGCGATGCGAAGCTCGAAAATCCGTTCATACACCTTCTTTGTCTCTTCCAGAGTGCTGACACTCTCCACAAGGTCGACATAGAAACTCCACAGCTTCCAGCTCTTATGCACACGCTGTTGCGGCGACAAGGATTCATCGAAATAGTCGACGTTGGACCGCTTGGGTGCCTGCGTAGCCTTGGCCATGATGTCGACGGCCTTGTCGAAATTTTCGTTGCGGAGCTCCATCTCTGCCCATTCGCACCACATCTCAGCCAACTCCGAGACCGACTTGAAGGGGACCTTGACGGCCTTTTCCATGATAACGCGCGCATTCTGAAGATCGCCGCCGGCCTCGTATATCTTGGCGTAGTTGGTCCAGAGTTCGTGGAACTTGCCAACGGCCTTCTTGGGGTTGATTGCCGCAATGGCATCAGTGTACGTCTGCACCACTTCTTTCTTGTTGTCGCCCCAGAGCGCAACGCGCTTTTCCCATTCAATCACGTTGTGTGGGTTCTGTCGCAGCATAACATCGTTGAGCAGGAATGGCCTTCTCTGCATCAGTGATTCGAAGCGAACCATTCTGATGTCCAGGTCGGCATCGCCAGCTTCATCGACTTGGCCCTGCTCTGACCGGGCGGCAGCCTCATTCAGCTTAATTCCAATCATGGCTTCCTCGGCTTCCACATATGTATCAAAGACGACGGAGAAGTCGCGCACAGTCATGACTGTAGTCACGCCCTCTTCGAAGACGTCTCGCGCTTTTTCGTATTCGCCCTTGTGCATCCAGTACCGCGCCAGGCCGACCCACAGGATGCCCCGTTGGTCAGGGAACTTGGCAATGCCACTCTGGATAATCTTTTCGACGTTGATGCCACTGTCATCACTCGTGTCGATCTCCTTGGCATGGTCAATGATGAGGTCGATCATCTCGGTCCAGAATTGGAAGGGCCCCTTTGCCTCCTTGCTTTTGAACCGGGGGTTGTTGAGAATCTCCATGTACTTTTTGACGGCCTCGGTGTACTTGCGCATGTCCTTGAGCAGCTCGATAAAGTCCTCGGCGTCTTCGGGGTGGATTTGCATGTAGCGTCGCCAGATCTTGACGGCCGTCTCGCCCGAGGCAGACGTGGCGAAGGGCCGGTACAGGGCCCAGATGCGGTTGTGCTGCGTTAGGGGGAGGGCGCGCAATGCTCGGTCGAAGGTGCGGCGGGTCGTGGTCACGAGAGGCTGCTGCATGAGAAAGGTGAGGTACATCTCCCAGATGCGCGGCATCTTGTTCAGCAGAACAAGAGCCCGCTCAAACAGGGCGTTGACCTTGACGTAGTGCGGCGCAAACTTTGCGGGATTCTTGTTGGCGAGGTGTTTGGTCCGCAGCTCGAGGTACAGCTTCCACAGCTTGTACGAGCGCGGCAGCGTGGTGACGGCGCGCTCGAGGACGAAGGCCTGCTCCAGGATGCTGCCGCGGGACTTCTTGAAGGCGTGGTAGTCGAGCCATGGCTTGACGCTGCCAGGGTTGCGCTGGATGTCCTGCTCGTACGCGACGTCCTGGTCGGTGATGAGGAAAAGGTCCGCCGAGGGCTCCATCTTGCGCTTCGAGGGCCGCGAGAGGCTCGCGGTCACGGTCCTGAGGAGTTCGCCGGGCATGGTTGCGCCAGTGCCAGGGCGTGTCGAGGCCCGCGGTGGGCAGGAAGCTGGGGGGATTCGGGGCACGACGGGCTGATGGAGCGTGTCGCCGGGTTAAAGTTCTGAGGGCAAGAGCGATGGAGTCCGAGCGGTCAGCGGGCGCCGCCAGCCAATGGCGGCGCGGCCTGCTGGACGACCCGCCTGTGCTTGCGAGAGTTGGCAGGCGCGGGTGCACGGGCCGCTCGTCTCAGATAGCTCCCCCCGGCATGGCTGCGTCACGTTCCGCCTGCTTCACTGCCGCCCGTCGACCGACTGACTTGCGCAAGAGAAAAGCTGGCCTGCCCATTGCCGCCGCCATCTACACACGCCGCCGCCGCCAGCCCCAGCCCACGATAGAGAGACCCGGCCCAAGACATGTCGGGCAGCGGGGTATGTGCTGCCCCCCCCCACGCCCGCCGCCCCCATCTCACCAGAGCTAACCCGGCCCCCCAGGCGAGAGAGGCCGTCTTCGCGACGCGCCAGTCGCTGGGCATGATGAAAAGCAAGCTCAAGGGTGCCCAGACGGGCCACGACCTGCTGAAGCGCAAGAGCGAGGCCCTGACAAAGTACGCATCACCGTCCTCGCTGTGTTTCTGCGCCTCTTGCTAACCCTCGTCCAGACGTTTCCGAGGTATGGCCAGCCCCAGCATGCTCGCGCCACTGTCACCCGTGTAGCTGAAACCCGCTGTAGAAATCACCCGCCGCATCGATGAGGCAAAGCGCAAAATGGGCCGGGTCATGCAGGTCGCTGCCTTTTCGCTCGCCGAGGTCTCGTATGCCGTCGGCGGCGACATTGGCTACCAGATCCAGGAATCCGCCAAGCAGGCGCGCTTCCGCGTGCGCACCAAGCAGGAGAACGTTTCCGGTGTCTTCCTGCCGCAGTTCGAGAGCTTCACGGTCGAGCAGAACAACGACTTTGCCCTGACGGGACTGGGCAAGGGCGGCCAGCAGGTGCAGCGGTGCAGAGAGACGTACGCAAGAGCCGTCGAGACACTGGTGGAGCTGGCCAGTCTGCAGACAGCCTTTGTGATCCTCGACGAAGTCATCAAGGTCGTCAACCGTCGTGTCAACGCCATGTGGGTATCTTCCGTTCCCAGTCCAGACGAGAACCCAGGCTAACCGCTAGCCAGTGAGCACGTCATTATTCCCCGCACAGAAAACACCATCAAGTACATCAACTCGGAGCTAGACGAGCTGGACCGAGAAGAGTTCTATCGTCTGAAAAAAGTCTCCAAGAAGAAACAGAATGATGCTGCCGAAGAAGAGGCCGCGAGAATGGCACAGAAGAACAAGGAAGCAGAGGAGACGAGCGCAGAGGCGTCGCAGCAAGCTGTCGAGACCAAGGACATGCTTGGCGACGAGGACAACGAAGACGTCATCTTCTGAGCACTGCAAACATGCACTACTAGTATCTATCGGCGACGCCTCTGGTTTGGCGAACGGCCGTGCTCTCCGTCCAGTCTCGCCTTCATCGATTCTCCCTAAAGTCTGCGATATTGCCGCTTGGAAACCCCGGCTTTCCAGCCAGCCGACACAGCTCTGCTCTTCTTCTGGTTCTTGTCTAAAAGGAGATTTGAGTATTGTACCATAATATTGCAATAGCAAGCGTTCGGATAACAGGACATCTATTTTTTGTCGGCCGGTATCTGATGTTCATGTCGAACGAGGTATCATAAATGCATAAACCCACAAGCAATCAATCCATACGCAATAACCTACTGCTGCCTCTGGTACGTGACCTTCATAGGCTTGCCCTCTGCGCCAATCGGGGTATTCGCCGTCGCCTCCTTCGCGGTAATGGCAAACTGCTCATTCTCAAACTCGGCAAAGGCCACGGCCCTGACCGACACCAAACGCACTTCCTTGAAACCCTCGAAGCGCTCGAATATGGTTGTGAGGTCGTCCTCGTCGACGTCGCGGGGAATGTTCTGCAAGAAGAGCGTCTTGTTGGGTCGCACGTATTCGTCGGGCACAGCTGCCGCTCCGGTTTTGGCGGCGCGAGGCTTCTCGGCGGCCACGGGGTTGGCTTGCGCCTTCGCGTCTTCTTCTGCGCGCTTGAAATCTGTATGGTGTAAGCAAATAATTCACGTCGCGTCGGCTGGTGGCCAATCGTACCCTTGAGCGTCAGGCGCTTCCGCTTGTGGTCCTCGAACATGTCTGGTGCTTTCCGCTTGACCGTCTCGTCGCTATGTGTCTTTGCCCTTTGCACCTTCATGACCTTGCCATACATCTCAAAGCCGTTCATCTCCTCGACCGCCTCGAGCGCTGCCTTCTCGCTGTCAAACACAATAAACGCCTGTCCCTTGCGCTTCAGGCTGCTCTTCGCAATCACATCGAGGATCGGGCCGTAGTATTGAAACACCCGGGTGAGCGCTTGCTTCATGGTATCGATCTTGACACGCTCCTCCAGGTTGTTGACCTAGTTGCTATCTGTCAGCGCGCCATCCGCCAGCCGCAACGCGAGCGCGTTGCCGGCATGCCGTAGGCCAACTCACATAGATTCTGCAATTCGGCATTAGCATCATAGGGACCTACCTTTTCGGCATGATCGCACTTACGTTTCGATGGGCACGGGGTATTTGCTGGGATCTACAAGGCCGCCGCCCATGACTACGCCCTCCATCTTGTCCGCCATCTTGAAGCGACTGTTGTGGGGTGGAGTGGTTTGATTGGGCGTGGCTTCACCACTGCAGCTTGAAGCTATCCACATGCTAGATTCGAGATCCGTGCCAAGCACGCTAGGCTGCGCGCTCACGTGATAGCGCTCCCCCATCTGAAGCTGCCTGTCTGCCACTGTACCACATGACCACGTGCGTAGATGTTGCAGTGCTGGAATTGAAGTTGCGCTAAATCAAATTGGTTAGAACATGTCGATTCATTGAAAAGCATCACCTAAGCAGTCGGCATGGATGCATTCTAGACCTTCCTTTGGCTTGGTCATGCCGGTATCGGTGATATCCAGGTGTATAAAATGTACAAGTACTACTACATGTAGATTTTAATTTCATCAAATTCAGTGTACATCGCCATTCCTTCTTGCTATCAATGTACTAAGTCCACCCGTTATAGCTGGTTCTGCCCTAGATGCTGACGTCACAGTATAGCTCAAGTTGGTGCGGAAACCCGAATTGGAAAGCTCCCTGTAACTACCAATAACTGATCTTCTCACGTCTTAACCGCAATTGTGTCTTTTTTTCTTGGTCCTACACATCTCTCTGGCGATTTCTGGATTCCATGTCAGCTATCCTTTCGCCACTCGGCCTCAAAGGCTCCTCTGCACCACCAGGGCTCAAATGGCGTTCCCATCCGGTTTTCGTCGTCTTCACCGTCGGCACGGGAGCTTTTGTGGATCTTTTCCTTTACGGCCTTATCGTACCAGTGCTCCCTTTTTTGCTCAAAGACCGGATTGAGTTGCCAAACTCCCATATACAAAGCACGATATCGTATCTGCTTGCCATCTATGCAGCCGCCTCTTGCGCAATATCCCCAATAGCTGGTGTCTTGGCAGATAGGTTCTCCAGTTCGCGGCAGCTACCTTTCCTTCTCGGACTCACCATGCTTCTTCTTTCCACTATCCTCCTTGCCCTCGGTCGTAGCGTGGCCGTCCTTGCTATCGCGAGGTTTCTGCAGGGTGCCTCTGGTGGTGTCGTTTGGACCATTGGCATTGCGATCATTATAGAGACCGTAGGACAAGAGAATCTGGGCAAGGCAATGGGAACGGTGTTCAGTTTCATCTCTGTTGCCGGCCTCTTCTCGCCAATCGTTGGTGGAGTGCTCTACTCCAAGACTGGATACAAAGGCGTATTTGGAGTGGGTGTTGGGTTGATCGCGATAGACTTCTTACTGAGAGTGCTTATGATCGAAAAGAAAGTCGCGACAAGATACCCTGGCTCAAAATCAGATGCAAATCATGATCCGGATCATACACGAGAAAACACAGAGGAAACACCCCTCTTATCCAACAGTTCTGCCGCAGCTGATCGATACCGGCTTTCAAAACCAGCCAATCGATTTACCCACAACTTTCCTATCCTTATGCTCTTCCGCAACACTGCACTTCTGACCGCCATATGGATCGGCTTCATCCAAGCTCTACTACTGGGTTCCTTTGACGCTACAATTCCCCTGGTGGCTTCGGATCAATTCAGCTTTGACAGTCTGAAAGCCGGGCTACTTTTCCTACCCCTCGGCGGTGCCGACTTTCTCCTCGGACCCGTATTTGGATGGTGTGTTGATCGGTACGGTACAAAGCCGGTTTCTTTTCTTGGATTTATCTGGCTCATCCCTGCGCTCGTCTTACTTCGACTGCCTACCGAGTCGGATCTTGTCGGCAAACTGGATGCATCCCATCTTATCGCGCTCTATGCTGGTCTACTGGCAGCCAATGGGCTGGGACTCGCATGTATCAACAGCATCAGCATCGTGGAATCGGGAAATATTGTGGAGAAATATTATAGAGCAAACATGGACTTGTTTGACCAAGCGCCATATGCTCAGTTGTATGGCATCAGCAGCATGGTTTGGAGTGCTGGATTGACTGTAGGTCCATTGATTGCTGGGTTGCTGAAGGACACGATTGGATATGGGAATATGAATGCTGTGCTCGCTGGTCTGTGTGGACTGACGGCCATCACTTCCGCTTTCTTCATTGGCGGGAAGCAAGAAGACGATGATGTTGTAAGCGAGCGAGATGATTGAAAAGTTGTATCGAAAGCCTCGTTATGGTCTATTAAGCTCTAAATATAGACTATCTAGTATTTAGATAAACCAGTAGATCATGTCGAGAGTAAAGGTAGTCGTGGCCGGTAATTTACAAATCTGGACTCATTCCAACTTTTACAAAATCAAGATTTATCCCTTACTCAACTTATGCATCTAAGAAGAGTAATGGCCCTAGATTTCTCGTATTAGATACCCATGATAGCGGCTACGTGGTAGAGAAAGCTGTGTTTGACTTTGAGCTTGTTGAGCAGTCGTTGAGAGGTTTTAACGGCGTCATGCAATCGTATTACCCTCCCCATTTCTCAGTTTAGGCATTAAGAACGTGATAACTATGGAACTTGCTCTTCTTTTCTATATTCTGATACAGATGAGAGGGTGGTTGGCTTTAGTTAGTGTTTAGCAAGCTGGTTTTCAAGAAGCTCGCGATTATCTATTGTACGCGTATTGTTTGACTCAACATCGTGTAAAGAAGTAGGCCACGCCTACTCCTTTCCACATTATCGCTACAAAAAAAACTCAGGTCTCTTGTGGAGCAAAATAGCTCGATTGATTTCAAGGTCAGTTTATATCAATACTTCTTAGTAGTCTCCCACGTTATGAAATCCGCTAGGTTAGCACATTAAAATCACTCATAAACCCAGTATTTGCTGCTTTCCATGAGTGATTTCCCCGTGCTGACATGTCAAGGATAGCTTATTTTACAGCTCAACCCCTGCATCGCTATCCATTTGCTGGAAAAGAATGCCAAAATCATGACTACAGAGAAAGAGAAGCGAAAAGTTAGACCTGGCTGCTACCTCTCTACACAAGCCGTGTTGAGGCGTTCATGCCGATATGTAAATGCGGGATTTAACAAAGTGAAGAAAACGGCCAGGTAGTTTACCTATAGCCATGTCGTGTGATAATACAGGAAGAATTTCAACTGGCTTGAACATCGTATTTTGCTTAGGCCAAGTGGAGCCCTTAGCCGTATTGCCGGTTCGATGGCCGCAAAAGGTCCTTTTACATGACTAGCTAGAAGCCTTCTAGAAGGCCCTTGTGGCTGATGAATGCTAAACTATCTCTCATAGGCCGAGAACTAGAACGTAGCACCGCGCCTAGATTTAATGGCTAAAATGCAGAATATTCCATTCTAGTTGAGTCCAGAAGCAAACTTACCACCTAATGTGGGGCGTGCGCTTGGGCGGATGTATGTAATCGTACCATGTTTCACTAGAAATCGATAAGAATACGAACACCGAAGAAGCCTTGAATCAGGTGAAGATATGAATTAGTACATGTCAGCTGAAGTCGCTTCTACACATACGCATGTAACCGCCACGTGCTTTACATGCAAGATCTGGGACAACGGTAAGTAGTGGGGCTTCGGACTCACACCAACGCACGACTAGCGAGATCCTTCCCCGACGGTCCTTTTAATTCTGCAAACGTGACGAGGTAGGCCTCTGCTACTCCAGTCAAGGTTCTCGGACACTGAAGTATTACTTGGATTAAGTCTACATGCATGTGTCATCTGTTCTAAACTTAGAGTCTCTGGTGAGCACTAAAGGGTTAGGGTTCGACTGTGCTCACCATTACCGATGACAATCATACGTAAGACAGTATTTGGAAGAGTCTTGTTCAATTCATCAAGCGTCAAGACAATCGCATTACGCATAATCATCTCTCCATTGGTTGGACTCGCCCCCTCGGTATCGGCACCGGCCCCGAGTCTAGTCTCAGGCCCCCACACGACGTGACCCTGTTGCACTAACGCCTATGTATGCTAACACTTGACTACAGTACTGCCATGCCGCCCAAGCTCGTTAACACCCGCTACTAGGTCTTCTGCGGAGCAAGACTTGGCAACCTGGGGTGTCTAGACTTCAAATCAGTCACATATCCTAGTAGACTGGTATGGCTTGTCGCCGAACTCATAGCCTCATTCATCACCGGTGTCCTGAGTACAACTGCTGCTGACGTTACGCAGAGGCAATGTTCAACTGGAGGAGCGTCCAAGGCAACAAGATTACAGGCTAAATAAAGATTATACACGAAACCGTATCTATGTATTGAGTAATTCCGCAAATGCTGTATTGGGTAGCATGCGGTGAAATGGTTCGGATCGACTCGGTTCAATTCGGCTTGCGCTCCCGTCCACATCGTATTTTCCAGCCAGTAATGTGGCTTCTCTCTTTGGCCCAAGATAAACGTTAAGCAGTCTTGCAAGTCAAGATCGTGAACTGACCCTCAGTGGCTGGCGTACACACAATGCGGGCTGAGGTGTTGAAAGAAAGCTGCATACTACCATCCTTTCCGCCTGCAAACTGTACATTGGCACTGACACCCGCCTCATTCAGACCAATACCGGCTGAAAACTCGAGAGAATCTGGCTTGATGGTGAATCCGCCGCCCAACCCAAAGTCTTTGGAACCAGCTTGAAGACCACCTATCCCGTGCTGTCAGCCTCGATTGCTTGCGTAAGATGACGGCTAGCTTACCACCGTAAGACGTATCGGCCTTCCAGTTGATGCCGCAGCCTACCCCAATGCCGCCAAACGGAGTGAGATTGCCCGCAGCTGCGACATTTCCAATGCCTTGGGTGGACGTGCCATTTTGTTCGAGGCTAGTGATTTTCACATCGCTTGCACTTCGGCCCTGCTGTGGCGTTGCAGACACCAACACCTGCATAGCAAGAAATGGTACGAGGATTCTCCCGAGCATTTTGTCGACAATGATGCGCTTCGATATAACCAACAGACAAACAGGAACGCTCGAGAGGAATGGTGAATTGAGACAGCGCTGTGGTGGAGTAACCCGTGCTTCATTTATAGGGGGCGATGTTCTGTACCAAGCTTACGTACGGGCACAACCATAGGTTCCGCTCTTTCCAATACATAGCGCTTCGCCTTGCAAATTACCGGCCCTGACAGCAATTTAACCACACAGGAGACTTAACAGGCCCTCGGTCCGAATAAGAACCTTAATCTGACAGTGCAACGATAGCAGGGGAACTTCGACTGGGTGCTTCGCAGGAAAGGCTAAGTAATCGAGGATTGCGGAAGGACTGTCCGAGATAAATTCAACTATTGATACCTAAACAGAAATCACCTAACCTCTACAATGTGCAGAACAGTTGCAAAAACAGAGAAAGACAGGCTGAGCGGCGAGACAACGACATGACTTCGGTGCAATCTCGGTGGTGCTAGGGCGCGGCCAGTGATCCGGCGCGCCCGCATTACAGGCTATCCTAGCGTTCGAAGCCTCGTCGAAGTATGTAAGTGATGGGCGAGAAGATCGCCGTCTTAGAACAAATATAGCCAAACATGATCACTGTATAATAGGCCTGGAGTTCCCGGCAGTTGGGGGTGCTCACCAGCTTACCCCTCTGCTTCTCTCCTCCAAAATGCGTGCTGGAGTAGCAATCAGCTTGCTGCTGACAACTGCAGGCTCAGTGTTGGGCGATCATCGACACTCCAAAGACTCCAAGTGTTCTAACAAGGGCCATGGCGCCGGCCTCACTAGCCATGGTGGCGATTGGCAACCCGACATCTATCTCTCTGTTACATATGAGAAGCAAAAGGTGGCATGCTCGGAGCGCATGTCTGTCTTGGTGAACGGCACGTCCCCAGCACCAACGCTCCGAATTCCCCCTGGAAAAACCACATGGATTCGGGTCTGTAACAACATGGACAATCACAACACGACCATTGTAAGAATATGATTGTATACTTTTACAGCTATTTCTAACGCGTATTCAGCATTGGCATGGTCTTAGCCAGCGTACAGCACCATTCAGCGATGGAACCCCCATTAGTCAATGGCCAATTGCACCCCATAGATGTTTCGATTACGAAGTTCACCCTGAGCCTGACGACTGTGGAACGTATTTCTACCATTCGCATTATGAATTTCAAGCCATCTCCGCCCAAGGAGCGCTCATTGTCGAAGATGCCCAAGCGCACCCAATCCCCCATGACCATGAACGTATAGTTTTTGTTCAGGACTTTTACAAAAAGACTGATGACACAATCGTGTCTGGACTTACAGCAACACCGTTTGTTTGGAGTGGCGAAGTGGATTCAGTACTTATCAATGGTGTTGGTGTGCCCAATAATACAGTCGCTGGCCACGGCGATTGTCAACTGCCTGTCATCGAGGTACAGCCTGACACAACCTACCGCTTCCGTTTTATCGGCGCAGGAGCCATATCGATGGTTCAAATCGCCTTCGAAGGCCACACCGATCTCCAAATCATCGCAGCAGACTCTCAATACACCAAACCTCACAAGATCGACTACATTCAGGTTGCACCAGGACAGCGATTCGATGCGATTATTCATACAAAGTCGGCTGCGGAACTTGCTCGCGCTAACAAAACGGATTTCTACATCCAGTTTCAGACCCAGGACCGGCCAAAGATCTACACTGGCTATGGTGTTCTGCGCTACCCTGGTTCTGGAACCAAGATTACTACCCAGCCTGCTGTCAAGCCTTTGAACACGAGACACCCTCCTTATGACTACCTTGAGTACACTCTGGAGCCCCTGAAACCCAACGATTTCCCGCAAGCACATGAGGTCACCCGCCGTGTGATCATTGACAATGTGCAAGTTATGAACAAGACTATTGTCTGGGACCAAGACGGCCTTAGCTGGACCGAAAACCTTCCCCAGAACAGTCCTCCTTATTTGGTAAACATTTACAAGAACGGCCCCTCTGCCATGCCAAACTATACTGCGGCACTAGCGAACAATGACTGGGACCCAAAGACGCTCGCATGGCCCGCCAAGATTGGCGAGGTGCTCGAGGTCATCATCCAAAACACGGGAAGTAGAGTTAAGAACAACGGCGGTGTTGATTCCCACCCGTGGCATTTACACGGCCATCACGGCCATGACTGCGGAAGAGGACCAGGCGTCTATGATCCCGTTGAGAACGAGAAGAAACTAAAAGGCTACAACCCTGTGCTGCGTGACACAACAAACCTGTACCGCTACAACGCTCAGGGTGTGGCCGGAGAAGTTAATTCATGGCGATGTTGGAGAATCCGCGTCAAGAATCCCGGATGCTGGATGTTCCACTGCCACATTCTTCAGCACATGGTCATGGGCATGCAGACATCCTGGGTTTTTGGAGACTACAACCAGATTACTGCTATCCCGTTCTCCGGCGCCCAGGGATATCTGGAGTACAATGGAAACGCATACGGAAGCTCAGATAAGTCACCGGTTGTCTACGAATACTTTCCCAAGGAATCGAAGCAGAAGCCCTAGTCTGGCCTTCTGTCGAACAGTCTCTTGTACAAACAACAGTTTTTTGTTTTAAATATCGATAGATCGACTTTTTTCGTTGCCAGAATCCGTTAATTGTAAAGTAATGCAATCGCTTCATTATTATTGATACCAATATTACGGATATGCAAAGAAAGTAGTGAATATGTTCAAGTTACAAAACCACATTTGTTTTGCTTTGTTTCTGCGAGTACATACCCTTCGCGATCTAGATAGACGATTACGAAAAGCATTTGAAGAAAACTCCTATAAGTAACATGGCTGCATAATACGATTAGACTTTACTGAGCACAGGTAGAATATGCATCAACTTCTTGTCAGCTCAGCGCTACTTGCTGCATGTCGTTTTGATGACCGAAAACAAGGACCCCCTTCCACCTCCTTAATAATAGCTGACCATAGCGAAAATATTGAGGAGCTAAGGGGAAATTCAGGATCGCATGGTTTCTGCGCCGGCCACATTACATGGAGTAGTTCACGCCAAGCAGATTGAGCTAGGATTTCTTATTGAGCCCTGTGTCGATGCACCCGTACGGTAGTTCTTACACGCCGCCTTCTCTGCCCTACAAGCTCCGGACACTAACTCTGCGGCAGGTTCCTGCTAGTAACTTGCACACTACGGAGGTGACTGTCAAAAGTTCTTGCTAGCGCCACGCTAAGCCGCCAGCCTATCGGCCCGACTATTCTTGGCGCTCACACTAATTTCTTGAAGCTAGCGATAGCTTGTATACTTATTTTTTTGAGTGTTTTTAATCTACTATAGCTCCAAATACGGATATATCGACCCACTCTTTTATTGTTGCATTGAAGTCACCTTTTAGTGGCAAATCTACACGCGAAATTGCAGAAATAATAGGTATATCGCCGCGTACGATCGACTTAATTTATGGTAGAGCCTGCCAGCGAGGCTTTAAGCCTAACGCACGCCTAATTAAGATCCTTTCGCAGTACCTTAAAGATGCCCCGCGCGCAGGCCGCCCTCGTAAATAAGAAGAAATACACAACGCTACTCTTAAGAACGTACGCCGCGATAGGTATAGGAGAGAGAAGAGCTGCGCTAATATTGCTAGTAATCTTAGTGTTCACGGCTACAACGTCTCGTCGTCCACTGTATAGAGAGTCCTTCAAGCAGCCGGTTACAACAAGACGAAGCCAACGAGGAAGCCTAGGTTGACGATGAAGATGAGACAGGAAAGACTTGAGTGGTGTCTTGCCTATAAAGATTGGACACTTGAAGATTAGAAGAACGTTATTTGGTTAGATAAGACTTCTGTTGTTCTCAACCACTATCGCGGTGGCTATCGTGTGTAGCGACGCCTAGATGAAGTCTTTACCAAAAGTGTTATCTAAGAGCGGTGGAAGGGCTACTCTAAATTTATGTTCTAGGGCTGCTTCACGTACGACTACAAAGGTCCTTGCCATGTCTGGAGGCCTGAGACTGCGCAGGAGAAGAGAGACGCCGCTCTCCAGATTGAAGAGTTGAATAAGGCTCTAGAGCCTCTCATGAGAGAGGCGTGGGAGCTTACAACAGGCATAAAGAGGCTTGGATTACGTAACAAGCCTGGCAGAGTTCCACAATGGAGATGGGTAAAAGAGACGGGTAAGCTAGCTCGTGAGAGCAGTCGTGGTGGCATTAATTGGTGGCGTTACCAGACTCAAGTTCTTATCCCAAAGCTAATTCCCTTCGCAAAGGAGTGCTAAAAAGAGAGACCACGTGTCTTTGTTCAAGAAGATAAGGCACCTTCGCATACCCACCACGCTCAAAGAACTATATACCGAAACGCTGAGGTGGAGCAGCTCCCATGGCCAGGCAATTCACCTGATCTCAACGCTATTGAAGCAGCCTGGCCATGGCTCAAAAGAAAAACAACACGAAGAGGCGCACCAAAAAGTCGGGCGGAAGGGACAAAAGTATGGCAACGGTACTGGGATGAGCTACCTCAACACCAAATTCAAGCTTGGATAGAGCGTATTCCGTTTTATATTCAAGAAATCATTAAACTTGAAGGTGGCAATGAGTACAAAGAGGGGCGGTGGGACCGATCTACATAGCTTCGGCCCTATTTTCGGCGGTAATCAATGCACCCCTGTCAGCAAGAACTTTTGACAGTCACCTCCGTACTGCATGCCCTTCTGTCTAATCTCGCGTGGCTGGTGGGTCCCGCGATGGTACCCAACACATCTTAGTCGCCGAACCTATCCGACAGGCCGCACTATTGTATGTACATGTATGCCCCTGCCTCCCCTGGGGATGATTCAAGTTATACATGGGACCTGGCAAATTTGCTATATATCGGTTCCATCTCGCATCCGTTTCCGAGAAAGTGCTTCGGCAATAATTCATAGGCCGTTCGGACCCGAGCGGATATAAGGTCCCGTGACGCCGGCCACGTGACGTAGTCGGCACTCCTATCGGCTTGGTGGCAGCAGTGTTGGGGGTTTGATATTCTGCCCCTATCATATCCTCACTGCTATTCTCACAAACTCAGTTTTCAGGGCCGTACCCAAAATATACGGGCGTGTCAAGTAATGCCCTGAACCGGACCAAATGATAATATTCATCATCTCCTATTGAAGCTGCTGCTACCTATGCCGAAACCAGGCATGACACTGTAGCTGCTGACATGGCAGCAGTTAGTTGCATCGAACCTTGCATGACGCCAATCGGTAGCTTCCCGTACCACGATTTCTCGATTTCTCTTTTCACAACCCGCATGCTCTATAGCCATAGAACAAAATATTTAGTCTCGGCGTCCTTTAGCTACATATATTTGCGTACGCCCGAGTCAGCCCAGACAGATAAGATAACCAGGTCTCATTCTACGCTACCCATATCTGGCTGCTGCTGACTGATTCACCCCCCGATTCTGCATGATGCATGCGCGTTTCATATTATGAACGAAAAAAAAAATAACAGGCTTCTCTTCGGCCAAATTGAGTCATAACTCATTGGGTTCCTGGACCACTTAGAAGTACTTTACCCCTATCCAGCATCTTCGATACCGCCTGCTGATCGATGCTGTATTGAGTGCCATCTCACCAGACAAGTTGAGAAAGAAGAATAAAAATACTTCCAGCAAAGCACCTCCTCTGCAGGGGCTGGCTTACGCGGCATTTGAGTTGAACGACTATGTACGGAATAAACCCAAATAGCACAAGAGTGATACCTGTGTACATGATTAGCAAAAGTCTCCGTATGCGCTGTAATATTACGCCGAAGAAATGGCAAACTCAATCGAGGCGCAAATACATATGTGCATAGTGTGGTATCTTTTTATGGATGCAATAGGTGGCAGGTGTCTATGATACGACTTGGCAACATACATGAACTATTTGGTCCAAGAAACAGCAACAACATGCCTTTTAGTACCTAATGCAAGCCTAACATGTTTCGCCCATGCAGTCCAATCCCCAACACAACCATTTTCTCCATGCAGAATACTCGATTCCAAAGCCCGACATAACTTCCAGCGTCTGACTTGATTATAAACCACTGCTTGAATGAAACGTTACATCAGACTCTCACCCTCCCCCGTCGTACAGCATACTCCACGCTCGTGCCACCAACCACGATATCCCCATTTCCATTCGCAACTGCAAATCCCGCAGCACGCATATCTCGCCTTGTGCACCCATCAATGACGGCTAGCAGTCCCAACGCCACATCGGCACTATGTATGCACATCAAACATATCAGCACCACGATGCAACCGTTCTTATCTTGGGGTACGAGGTGTAACGTTCAAGACATGGGCTTGACGTACCAATAGCTACTCTGGTTTTCCTGCACAAGCCCCACGCCAATCACGATGCCGTCGCCGCCAAACCGACACAGCGTAGTGACTTGGTTCCGCTTGAACGCGCAGGGCGTAGTGCCCAGATTGCGCAGGTAGTGGAAGCAGTAAACCAGGTTTGCGACGGGTGTATATGCATCGTCTTCAGGCCCGCATTGGGGGTTCTGCAAAGCGTCTTGGCCCGTGTAGCGCCGTGTTAGCTGAGGAACATCCCCCGTGCAAGCCTGTCTCGGAGGGGAGTTTACCGGTGGAAATTTCGGGCATGCCGTAGGTTTTGGCCAGGCTCGGATTTGGAGATGCTGGCCTTGGAAACCTTGTGCTGGGGGGAGGGTCTGGATGTTCGCTGCCGACTGCGGCTGAGTAGGAGTGGCATGCGAAGAGAATGGGCATTATCAAATGATTTGGAGAAGGCATCATAAGTCGGATTGCGCTTGAATATCTGGTGCTATATGTCTATGAGCATTCGCCCTTGAATTTCTATATGGGACAATGGTAACTTGAAGTTGTACCAAAGTTGCAGAAATCGTGCCTTCAGTGCATTAGTGGATAGACAAAACCGACAGTTACAGTCGTTCTGCTTGCTGTCACTTTTCGAATTGGCTGAGTACAAGTTGACGGGAAATATGTAGCTGTGATTTGTACACGTCCTATACACTAGTCATGGATGACAGTGAGGAGAGGCGAGGGCATAACGAGCATACCACTAATCGCTACGAAGATTGTTTGTTGCCACTTGCACCGTGTAACCTGTACAAGTCAATGGCACGTATCTGTCCAACGTTTACTTGATGGCTGATAGTCGGCGAGTACAAAGCTCAAGACACGCCAATTTATTGTTGGACCCCTGATTCATAGAAAAACTGGCTACAATGGACGAATCGGGAGTTCAGTGTAACTTGAGAGGTCACTGTCGCAGTTGCTTGTCTACGATTTTCTAAAGTCCCAAGTGTCGCCGCATGCTCGTTATGACTCAAGCATGGAGCATAACTTAGAAAGGTTGGTACGTGGATTTAAAAGATTTCTGAAGTAGAGCGGGTGCTTTCTATTGAGTGAATGAGAGTCATTCGTGAACGCCATAAGATAAGGAACCAGCAGCTAGTTGTGTAGAGTTGTGGTATTGCGCGTGTGACAGTGTCTAGGTGCGAAGCTATTGTGTATTTTTTGTCTATCTATCCCTTCCGAGTCGTTCTTCATAGTCGTCTATCAGCTCGTAAGCCGGTCTGAACTTGGGCTTTGATGTCCCATTCACAACCCCAGCTTGTGGCACTTGTTGCGCAGATGGTTGTCGCACAAGCTTCGGATTCGGATGCGTGTCGGTCGTTCCACCTAACGAGGTGTATCCAAGATCATAGAGAGAGCAGTAAGGTATGTTGAGATACCGTATAAACTGGATCGTGTCAGCAGTTGCAGGGCTGGTCGGCATCGATATCACATACTGTCCATATTTCGACATAGTGCCAGTCTATAACAGGGTGTATCCGTACAAACGGGGGCCATCCCGAGTCCGTGGGGTCAAAATGCTTCAAGTGCTGGCCATGTGGGTCTGTCCGGCGTGTGCCGACCAATATGGCCTTGACTGAGGGGGTGTCTCTCAGATAGTCGGCAAAGGCAGCCTTCATAGGCTTTGCATACTCGAGCAAAGAGAGCGAGTATATCTTGCTACTGTGAACGACAAACTCCTCCACCTCGGGAAAGGGATGTGCGTCTTGAATGTAGACGCACTGGACGGCGGTCTCGGGGCTCGACGAGGGGTCCTTGGTTTGGGCCAGGCCGCGGCGGTGCAGAGCACACAGGTAGAGTATGAGCAGGACAAGACAGTCCTTGCCGCCGTTGTAGGATAGCGAGAGCTCGGGGAGACTGGATGGCGGTCAGTCGGGCGGCGGGCACATGTACCCCACACGGGCACGACGCACCTGTAGCGCTCCAAGGCGTCGGCAATCACCTGCAGCGACGTGCGGGTCTGCTGTTGGACGTTCTTCACGCGGTCGGATACATTTTGCGCGTCGAGGAAGGCCGAAATGCGGTCATCAATGCGGGTGCATAACTGGTCAAAAGGCAGCGGGGTATCGGATACGAGGGGGTCTGAGAACTCGGAGGCGGTGTTCATTGCGGCAGGGGCGCCAGCAGGGACATCAGACGCGGGCAGAATATGCAGTCTATAGAAGAAAAGGAGACGTGTCGACGAATGGCCGTAGGGGGTTCTGTTTCAGGCCATGATGGGCAATGTCTGGGCTGCGCGCAAGGCGAACAGGCGGAGGTGGGCGGACTCGCTTATCGATAAGAGCGCACATCCTCGGCCCAGGCCGGATGCGGCAAGGCGGCGAGCGGCTCCGCTGGCCACTCAGCGCGCGCGCAGTCATCAGCATCACCAACAGGCAGGCGACGACGCGCCGCTCCACCACGATGGCAGACACGGGCACGCAATCGATGCCCGTCTCCGGCCTCGCCTCGCCTCGAGCCTGTCGCGGCACTTTGGCCCATCTGCTGCGCTCCGAGCCGCAATCCAGCGCCGCCTGATTCGCCGCTCGTCGGCCGTCGCCCCAGACCCCGAAGTGCACTAAAATATTGCGTGCTTTCGGCACGCCTTGTCATGACCTCTTAAAGGGTTTTTTTCCCATTGCCGCTGTCGCTGGCTATGAGGAACGTCGCCGACGGCCCGAACCTCGACTATTACCTCTCGTCTCCCCCATAAGACATCCCCTCGCTGTTACTGTCAACTCAACTGTCTGCAGCCAATATGGGGTCTATCTCGACTGCAGGAGAGGCTGGTATGTTCCCCGCCCCACCATGGCCCTACCCCGGACATGCCACCGTCGAGGGTCTGATTTGGCAATTCACCAGTGCTGCGTACTAACTTGGGTCTTTGGCAGTGGCCCGAATTGCCCACCAGGCCTCCGACGTCATTGTGTCGGTCGTTCCCTCCCTCACGACCGAGTCTGAGTTCTCGGTGCCTCTGCAGCGCCTGCAAAAGGACAATGCGCCCAGCGTCGTCTGCAAGACACTTCCAGAGGTATGCCAGAGAGCGAGTCATGGCTGGGAGAACAGCATACTCACACTCCCCCAGGTCCTTACTGCCCGCCAAAATGCGGACCCCCTCCTCTCAGTCTTCCAGCCCATTCGTGCGGGCAAACTCACCAGCGTGACCACAACCTCGTCGATTCTCGTCAAGTCGATACCGCACCTCTACAAACTCGCACAATACCCCGTCGTGCTGCACGTGTCGGTAGCGCCTTCAGGTTACCCAGACTTCTCCGACATCACTTCGATCAGGCAGTCCGGCTTTGCCTTTATCCAGTCAGAGACTCTGCAAGAGCTGCAGGACCTCGCCCTTACAGCGCATGCCTTGGCTATCAAGTCAGGCAAAGGTGTGATTCATTTCTTCGATTCTGGCGCGAGCGCATTCAAGAAGACAGTGGAAGTCGAAGATGCTCAGCTGATCCGAAGCGTCCTCGACATGGACGCAGTGGCAGCATACCAAAACTCCCAGTCACAGGAGACGACTCTGTATGCCGACGATGGCAGGACTTCTACTCTGACTTTTGCCCGGAGTCAAGCTGTCAATGCTGCCTCTACAACAGCACCGGCCAGTGTTCCAGACCAGTCCAAGTTGCTTCCAGTGTCGGAGAGGAACAGCCAGCGAGGCGACTCCTCTTCTGGATCATCTCAGCGCGAGGCTAGCACCAGCGGCGCATCACTATCTTCCGCTACTACTGTTGAGTCTTTGGTTTCGAAACCTGTTTCTTCAGAAGACATCTACCGGTTCGCCACACAAATTTGGGCAACCATCAAAGATGCGACTGGACGAAGCTACGATGCCTTTGCCTTCTCTGGCACAGGCAAAGAAGAGGCTGCCATTTTCTTGTTTGGCGCCGACACTGCCGTCTTCGCCACCGAGCTGGACAGCGTTGACGAAACCAAGGCCTATGCCAACACAGCCATCATCACAGCCCGGCTGTACCGCCCTTGGCTCGGTGCGTCGCTTGCACCTATGCTGCCCTCATCTCTGAAGAGGATCGCTGTGCTTGAGCAAGTGCGGCGAAAGACGACCAGGTGGGGCCCTGTACTGCTCGACCTTCTCATGTCGTTGAAGTCGACTGGCGGCGCCTCCCCCATGGTCGTGGGCTACCAGTTGGGCTACATCAATGAGGAGACTGTTTCACAAGCAATGCGTGGTGTCTTCCAGAACCTCATGAGCGAGTCGCCTGTCCAGAACCTCGTCATCGGCAAGATCGACGGACCCGAGGCCAAGTCGGCCAAAGTAGAGCAACCAGCCTTGGAGAATGCCTATATGAAGATCCTTAACCAGGTTTTCGCTGAGAAGCTCCACATTGCTAACCAGCTTGGGTCGCAGCACGCTGGCATCTCCAACGAGATATCTGCCTCCCCAGAATATGGATTTGGATCGCTAGTTGCGCGCAAGGAGCACCGAACGCGATTGATCGACCAGGCCGCTGCTGCTTCCAAGGACAACTCATTCACCACCCAGGCACCACAACAATGGCTGTCCAAATGGGCTCTTAGCGCCAACGACGCTGACAAGGCCAATGAGCTGGCCTCAGAGGTCATCTCCCGCTTGGCCACCGATGGGTCACCCTTGGCCAACCAGCTTCTTTCTTCGAAGAAGCTATTTTACAAGGAGTCACAATGGTTGATCGGATCTGATGCCTGGGCTTACGACCTTGGAAATTCTGGTGTACACCATGTACTTGCATCCGGCGAGAACGTCAACATGCTCATCATTGACTCGACACCCTACTCCGAGCGCTCCGCCGCTGACGCGGCAAGGCGGAAGAAGGACATCGGATTGTATGCCATGAACTTTGGCAACGCCTACGTGGCATCGGTCGCGGTATACAGCTCCTACACCCAGGTTCTGGAAGCCATGATTGAGGCCGACAAGTTCAACGGTCCTTCCGTTGTGCTCGCATATCTGCCATACGAGAAGGAAAGCGATACCCCTCTGACAGTCTTGCAAGAAACCAAGAAGGCTGTTGACCTGGGATACTGGCCACTCTACCGTTGGGACCCCCGAGGCGAGGAGAAGGGCGAGGCGAACTTCAAGCTTGACTCTGAGCGCATCAAGAAGGAGCTGGAGGAGTTCCTCTCTCGCGACAACTACATGTCGCAGGTCATGAAGCGACACCCAGAGTTCTCTTCCAACCTCTCCGGATCCTATGGAACCGAAGTCAGGCAGTTGCAGAAGCGCAAGGCCAAGGACGCATACAGCAAACTGCTCGAGGGCCTTCAGGGCGACCCATTGACAATTCTCTTCGCATCTGACAATGGCAATGCTGAAAACTTGGCCAAGAGGCTCGGAAACCGGGGCAAAGCTAGGGGCCTCAAGACCATGGTCATGGCTATGGATGACTTCCCACTCGAGGACCTACCCAACGAGCAAAACGTCGTCTTGATGACTAGTGTAGCTGGCCAGGGAGAGTTCCCCCAAAATGGTCGCGCGTTCTGGGAGGCGGTCAAGGACTCCACTGATCTGGATCTCGCAACAGTAAACTTCGGTGTCTTTGGTCTTGGTGACAGCCACTACTGGCCACGCAAAGAGGACAAGATCTACTACAACAAGCCCGCGAAGGATCTCCATGCTCGTCTCCTCACACTCGGCGGTAAGCCTCTGGTCGACTGTGGTCTCGGAGATGACCAGGACCCAGATGCGTACCAAACGGCGTATGCCGAGTGGGAACCGAAGCTTTGGGAGAAACTCGGCGTTGCCAACGTCGAGAACCTGCCAGAGGAACCCGCACCGCTCACCAACGAAGACATGAAGGCTGCCTCAAACTTCCTCCGAGGTACGATTGAGGAGGGTCTGGCTGACACCAGTACTGGTGCCATCTCAGCCAGTGACCAGCAACTCACCAAGTTCCACGGTACCTACATGCAGGATGACCGTGACCTTCGCGATCAGCGCAAGGCCCAGGGTCTTGAGCCTGCCTATTCTTTCATGATCCGATGCAGACTGCCTGGAGGTGTTTCGACACCCAAGCAATGGCTGCAGATGGACGAGATTAGCACCACGCTTGGTAACCAGACCATGAAGCTGACCACCCGACAAACCTTCCAGTTCCACGGTGTTGTCAAGGGTAAGCTTAAGCCGGCCATGCAAGCCATCAACAAGGCATTGATGACTACCATCGCTGCTTGTGGTGACGTCAACCGAAACGTCATGTGCAGTTCCCTTCCTACACAATCCAAGTACCACGGACAGGTCCACAGCTATGCCCAGAAGATTAGCGACCACCTTCTTCCCTCAACAACAGCGTATCACGAGATCTGGCTTGAGGACGATGAGACGAAGCAGAAGCGGAAGATCGCGGGTGAGGCTATTCAGGATCACGAGCCGCTTTACGGTCCTCTTTACCTTCCTCGAAAGTTCAAGATTACCATTGCCATCCCTCCGCACAACGACACCGACGTTTACGCTCACGACATTGGTCTCATCGCTATCAAGGGCGAAGATGGCAACCTCGCTGGTTTCAACGTGCTTGCTGGTGGCGGTATGGGTGTGACTCACAACAACAAGAAGACCTACCCACGAACTGGAACGATGTTTGGCTATGTCGAGGCTGATCAAGTGCATCTTGTCTGCGAGAAGATTATGCTTGTGCAGCGCGACCACGGTGACCGAAAGAACAGGAAGCACGCCCGTCTCAAGTACACCATTGACGATATGGGAGTGGACGTCTTCATAGGCAAGGTCGAGGATCTTTGGGGCCAAAAGTTTGCGGAACCCAAGCCTTTCAAATTCCAAAGTAACATTGACACCTTTGGATGGCAAAAGGATGAGCTTGGTCTCAACCACTTCACTTTCTTCATTGAAAATGGCCGTATCGAGGACACGGCTGACTTTCCAATGAAGACTGGTCTTATTGAGGTTGCCAAGGCACACAAGGGCGAGTTCCGACTGACTGGTAACCAGCATCTAATCCTGGCCAATGTTGCAGATGAGGACCTGCCAGCCATGAAGGAGCTTCTCAAGAAGTGGAAACTCGACAACACCAACTTCTCGGGTATGCGGTTGTCCAGTTCTGCCTGCGTTGCCTTCCCAACATGTGGTCTCGCCATGGCTGAGTCAGAGCGCTACCTACCCGAGCTCATTACTAAGCTCGAGGGTACGCTTGAAGAGGCTGGTCTTCGCCAAGACAGCATTGTCATGCGCATGACAGGCTGTCCTAATGGCTGTGCTCGTCCTTGGCTTGCCGAAGTTGCATTCGTCGGTAAGGCTTACGGAGCATACAACATGTACCTTGGTGGTGGCTACCACGGCCAAAGGTTAAACAAGCTCTACAGGAGCTCAATCAAAGAAGATGAGATCCTCGAGATCATGAAGCCGATGATCAAACAATACGCCAAGGAGAGGAATGAGGGTGAGCACTTTGGTGACTTTGTCATAAGAAAGGGCATCATCAATGAGACTACACATGGACAAAATTTCCACGACAACGTAAGTAATTCGAAATGATTCGAGCCCCGGAACACACTGAAGGAGATGACTAACCACATTGCAGACTGCCGAAGCGGAGTCAGACGCAGAATAAATGCGCCAGTGTTGGATGTCTGATGCATTATGAATTGAAGATCAAGTTTATAGTCCAAAATAGGAATTTCTAATTTTATTCACTTCTGGTCGGCTGTGTTCAACGCTCACCATCGGTTATTGAAAAAATCACGCCACTGCTAGTTTCCTTTAGTAAGACCGACGTCGCGTTACGACAATCATAGCAAAGCAACAGCAACACTATTTCTACTAAAACGCAAAACGACCAGAGCGATACCAGTTGAGTGACTTCCTGCGATTGGTTGCTGAGCGCCTCAGCAAAGCTTCGCGGCCACTAGTGGCTGACGAAGAAACATCAGGTGATCCTGCAATGACGTTACTCGAGCCGGAGAGTAAACGCGAGACGTTCTCGGAAAGGATATAACACTTCACATGGGTATAGTCTAACAGGACGAGTATGGTTCTATCCGCTGACATGGAGTAGGCCTGGTATACGCTTCCCATGTCCACTGGGGGTCTCGCCCTTCTTCTGCACCCGAAGAACCAGCCGCACACGTTCCCGGGCCTCTTGACGATTGGGAAAATCTTCTACATTGCCGAGCTCGTCTTCTTTGCAGCCATATCATGCGCCATCACGCACCGCTTCCTGCGGCGCCCTTTTCTCGTAAAAGCCAGCCTCACGCACCCGTCCGAGAGCCTCTTCTTCGCAACGTGCTTCCTCGCGCTGGCCAGCGTAATCGGCGGCATGCATCTCTACGGCGGCCCCGTGTGCGGCCCATGGCTTGTGACGGCTTTCCGTGTTTGCTTCTGGATTTACTTTGGCGTTACGTTTCTCGTTGCCTGTTCCTCGTACTATCTGCTCTTCTCGAGCCCCGCGCTCAAGATCAACGATATGACGCCCGCGTGGGACCTCCCCATCTTCCCGTTTATGCTCTCGGGTACGCTGGCGTCGATCGGTGCGGGCGCAATGCCGCTGGCCAGCCAGACGGTTACCATGATTGTGGCGGGCTTGACGGCGCAGGGCTTGGGCTTGCTTGTCAGTGTGATGATGTATGTCATGTACGTGCATCGCATGATTGAATGGGGATTCCCCAGCCCAAAGACTAGACCGGCTATGTTTATTGCTGTTGGGCCACCGGCCTTTACCGCTCTGGCTATCATCGGTATGGCAGATGCGTGGCCAACGGATACGACGTACTTTGGTGAAGACGGACAGGCAACAGCGAACACGATGAAATTGCTGGCAGCCATGGTGGCCGTGTTCATATGGTGTCTCGCGTTCTGGTTCTTCTGCATAGCCGTCATTGCGATTGTGCTCGTGGCCAAAGAGCTCACCTTCCATCTCAACTGGTGGGCGCTGGTGTTCCCGAATGTCGGCTTTACCATTGCCACCATCAAGATTGGGTCGGTGTTTTCGAGTACCGTTGTGGGATGGGTCGGGAGTATCATGACAGTAGGTATCTCGGGCACATATCTGTTTGTGCTCGTCATGTGTGTGAGGGCGGTGCTGGCAAGACAGATACTGAGCGAGGGCAAGGACGAGGATACGTATTTCCGCGAGGAAAAGCCCAAGGAGAGGAGACATTAGAGATGGAGTCAGAGGAGGAGAGATGCAGGGTTAATGTTTCAGAGAAGTGATATAGTCTATTTGATGGATGCAGAAAGATCTTAGTTGCGTATCGTCGGCAACGACATGCCTCGCTACGGACTCAACCGCTCAATCTTCCACTCAGCATCCTGTGTTCCCTCTCCACCGACCTTGCTGTACGCAAACCGATCATGCAGTCGACTCGGCCTGCCCTGCCAAAATTCAACCATATCCGGCACCACCCTCAGGCCGCCCCAAAACTCAGGCACCGGAATCTTATCCTGGCCCTCGAACCTCTTTTCCACATCTTCGACGCGCTTCTCCAATTCCTCTCTGCTTTGAATCACACTGCTCTGCTGACTCGCCCATGCTCCGATGCGCGAACCCCGGATCCGCGTGTCGTAGTAGACCTGGGATTCCTCGGCCGTCAGCCGCTCTACCGAGCCCTCAACACGCACCTGGCGCTCGAGCTCGCGCCAGTGAAATGTCAGCGCCGCATGCGGATTGCTGCGTACATCGCCCGCCTTGCGACTCGTATCCCAGTTGGAGTAGATGACGAAGCCGCGGTCATCCAGCTCCTTCATGTAGACTACGCGCGCAGACACCCTGCCGCTGGGCAGCTCGGCCGTGGAAAACGTGACGGTTTCGGGCTGGTAGACGTTGTTTGCTTGCGCTTCTTGGAACCACTTGTGGAATTGGTCCGTCGGCGACGGCAGCAGGTCCTCGCGGTCCAGAGCGCCCTTTGTGTACTGCGTTGCGTGGCCTGGGTCGTCTGAGTTGGATGTTGGCGCGAAAATCTTCTTCGCGGGTTCCTTGGCTGAGTGCAGCATGCTGGTTGCGGTGTAGAGTCGCTTCTGGTGGCGTTCAAGTGGTGCGTGTGAGGAGCGACAGTAGTAGTTGTAGTAGTTGTTGCTCAGTAGCAGATTTGCAATGCTTCTTCCAATGGGAATTGGTGATCCAGCAACAGCTTTTTGTATTCGCAGTACAACCATGGAATGGCTGTTCTTCCCTTTTTTTCTCCCTGTGGGACAAAGGACGAGGTTATCACGAGATTTTGGGCAAATCGCGTGATTCGGTGGGTGCGTTGAGGTACAGCTCGGAATGAGTCGTCGCGATCGGAACAAGGTGGGGTGACGTTAACGAGCTGCTAGCGCGGGCTTATGACGACGCGCAAATCTGGGAATTGGACTGACATTTTCTATGTCGGCTTCTGAGGTAATCAGATGAATGTGAGTCTTTGAGGAATGTTTACAGTAAGTTTTATTGTAGTTTTTTGGATGTACCCCGCCTTTGGATAGCATGTCGGGTAGTTGTATCATTATTCATGAAATCACACATTTAGCTGTACTTAGAAGGGAATTTCCTTTATTTTAATAAAACGAAATCAATCATTCCTGTATATATTAGCGAGCACGAGAGGGATCCTATCCTTCCTCGTGGATGTTGGATCAGCGTAGTAGCACATGCACTAGTCAACATCTAGGATTTCCAGGAGAAACTCGGACCGTCAAGAATAAGGCAAAAATAGGAAATGCGTAGATTACATGTTAAGTATCCGCAAAGTAATAATACCTCAAGACCACCTGGTGGAGCGCAAAGCTGGCCTTGAACTCTATTCCCACACCTTCCTCTTACAGGCAACCCCCGTCTGGTAATACTCCGGTAAAAGAGAGCCCTTGGTCGGTTTCCTAGTTGAGCATCCATAATATATTTCATACAGGATCATCTATACGCGAAACCACAACATGCGGGGTTCAGGCAGGAGGAGGCCGGTCTCGAGAAAATTCATGCGTTGCTCTTGTGACGTAAAGCGCTGGAAATGGTGTGCCTCTCCAAGCACTGCTGAAGACCGCGGAGGCTGTGTTACAAATGCGGCCGAGATGGGCTGAGGGTGTAGGTGGTGATCCCAGTGCACCTGTCTCAATGCGGCTAGACCGGGTGAGCTAGCAGTGCGGGGACTCGTGCATGCAACCACACACCCCTCGAGAGGGTGTTTTGTCTACTCAACAATAACACCGCAGCCTCGAAATCCGCCAGGGATGAGCACAGCAGCAACAATGCGGGATCCGGCATCCTACCAATATAACCTCGGCTCTTTTCACCGAAAGATCACCACGTCTAGCTCCCACGCACAGACATGGTTTGATCGCGGCCTGATATGGAGCTATGCATTCAATCACGAGGAATCCGCCCGCTGTTTTGAGCGAGCAACCAGCGAAGATCCAGCATGCGCCATGGCATATTGGGGTGTACGTACAGCCTTTGGGCCTCAAGCTGACATTAGGATTGGTAATGGCTGATCGTCGCAGCTGGCCTTTGCCCTAGGGCCAAACTATAACAAGCCGTGGGATTTATTTGATGAGAAAGAGCTAAGGTCTACACTAAGCAGAATAAACGAGGCCAACGAAAATGCCAAGAAGCATGCTACGGGTAAATCCGACGCTGAAAGAGCCTTGATCGACGCCATTCAGGTACGGGTGCCAAAGGATCTCAACGAAGCCGCGTTCCGTGCCTGCAACGAGGAGTATGCGCGAGCCATGGAGCATGTCTACAAGCGGTTTCCTGACGACCTTGATATTACCTCTCTATATGCTGATTCGCTCATGAACCTCTCAGCATGGGATCTGTGGGACCTCCAGACTGGCGAGCCCACTCCCGGATCTCGTTCACCAGAGGCAAAAGTGATACTGGAAAAGGCGCTGCTGCTCGATAGCACCCACGAGCACCCCGGGCTCCTGCACTTGTACATTCACCTAATGGAGATGTCAAGAACCCCCGAAGCAGCGCTAGTCTGCGCAGATCGTCTGAGAAAACTTACCCCAGACGCCGGCCATCTGGTCCACATGCCGAGCCATATCTGGATCCTTGTTGGTGATTACGGGCGTGCGATTGACTCGAATGCGGACGCGTGCCTTGCTGACGAGAAGTATGTCGCCGAGCATGGGACGCAGAATTTCTATTCGTTCTACATGATGCATGATTACCATTCGCTCATATACGCAGCCATGTTTGCAGGGCAGTTCAAGGTGGCATTGAACGCTGTCGACCGCATGGAGGCCTCGCTGCCTGTTTCACTATTGCGCGTTGAGAGCCCACCTATGGCAGACTGGCTCGAGAACTTTTCATCGGTACGCATCCATGTCCTGGTCCGCTTCGGCCGATGGCAGGATCTTATCGCTCTTGCCATGCCTGAGGATACGAGTTTGCATTGCGTAACCACGGCAATGATGCATTACGGGAAAGGCGTTGCCTATGCCGCTACTGGCGATATCGAGAGCGCACAGAGAGAGCGCGCCGCCTTGGGTGCGGCGGTAGAGCGGATCCCATCGTCCCGCATCTGTGGAGACTTCCCGAACAAGTCCAATGTAGTGCTCATGGTCGGTGTTGCAATGCTGGATGGTGAACTCGAATACCGCAAGGGCAACTACGAGGCGGCTTTCAGGCACCTCGAGACGGCGATGGAGAGAGACGACGCCCTGACCTAGTGAGTTTCTTGCCCTCTCTGTGAGACATAAACTGACGCTGGGCTTTGTTAGTGCGGAGCCATGGCCTTGGATGCAGCCAACCAGACATGCGTACGCCGCATTGCTGATGGAACAGGGCCGAATAGAAGATGCGGCAGCGGCCTACAAGGCTGACCTGGGGTTCGACAACACTCTGCCTAGAGCGAGGCAGCACCCGAACAACGTGTGGGCTTTGCACGGCTACCACGAGTGTCTGGTGAAATTGGGACGGACGGACGAGGCGGGCATCGTTGGGCAGCAGCTGCGAATTGCGCTTGCTGTGGCTGATGTCTCTGTCAATGCAAGTTGCTACTGTCGGCGGAGCGGAGGCGCGTAGGTAACGAGACGTGAGCATAAAGCCTAGAGCCCCCATGGCCAAGCATCGCATGTCTGCTTCCGTCTACACCCTTGTATACAGCATGTCCAGGTGGTGGTGGACTTGAGGGCGATCATCCAGCATCGTGGGTCTTGGGGAACTGCTATGCGGTGTAGAGCACAGGGATCCCATACTGTACAGGATGCTCCTGTTCAATTCACAGCACGGGAGCTGCTTTCTATAATGGTCCGATCAGCCCGATTCAGCTCTCGACGGTGCCCAAGACCTGTCAGTATGGCTCCCCTTTTGTACGCATTTGCCTTGGGCGCGCGTGTCAGTCGCCATTAGCACCAGTCGGCGCGCCGTCCGCACGTGGTGAGAGGTAAAGGGGCGAGCCGCGTTGACAGGGCCGTTACTCGAGCCAGCCGTGTATTAGGGCCTTGGGGGGTCAAATGAGTCGTCTTGTTGCATCCAATGATGCAGACGAGTGCCTCGGCATGTGTCTTCGCCGACTTCATTTTGCACCCCAGTCGTCCGCCACGTTGCTTGCCGCGACCGTGCTAGCGCGAGATCTCGGCTCGCTTAGCCTCATGGCTCGGAAATGCCATCCCAACAGAGACCGTCCACCACGCCCATGTCGGAGCCGCCATATGGACGTTGCCGGCACTTTCAGTCAGCACCGCGCATCTTTCCCCGTTTCACGGCCCACGGGAAACTGAAACTCACCCAATCAGCTCGTGTACACCTTGGAAAGCAGAAATGCACGCCACACACACACACACGCACACACACACACACGTGGGACCCAGACCCGATGCACGGCATGACGACGCCTGGGGGGGAGCCAGGCAATCTCTCCCTCTCTGCGTCTCTCTGACAGCCGCAGTCACAGAGCCATCTTGCTTGCTAGATTGCTATCCGTCGGCGGCTTTCCTGTCTAGATAGCCTGGACATGGTGTTGCACAAGCCGCAGTCACTGATTCACCCTGCCCATCCGGCCCATCGGCTAAGGCACAAGCACCATAAGCGCGCTTCCTTCTCAGAGAGGGAGGTGGCGACAGTAGCAACTAGCCGAACATCCCTGATATCAGGCGGAAGCTGGATCAGCGTTGAGCCTTGCCGTGGGACCCTCTTATGCTACGAGCCGGTGCCCTCCCGTGTCATAGGGTAGTAGCGCCATGGGCCGCCACATTTTTTTCTGGCCTGCCTTTTCCCCTGGATGCCCATTCGATCGAGGCTCCGCTCAGCTGGTGGGTTGACTCGCTTCGCTTGACACCCAAGGCCCCAGGTACGGGGGGGTTATATGGACCATGTATTCTCCCGTTGCCATCCGGCTGAAAATCTGATTGAGTGCGGCGAACCGATTTCCAATTTTTCTTTTCCCATTCTCTTCTCTGCCGACGTCACGCCATTGAACCATGGCTTCGAGGGATGAGAACAGGGGTCCAGAGTTGCAAGCAGTATGTTGAGTCAGTGACGGTAATGTTTGAAGGGGATCTCGATGGACTGATTCAGCGTGTTAGGTGTGCTCGACATTTGTGTCTTGTGCCTTTGTAGCCACTGTTTTGCGGGTTTACACGCGGACTCGCATTGTCAAGGCGTTTGGCGCAGACGACTGGTGGATGCTGGCTGCGCTCATGTTCCATGTTATGTTTGCAACTTGCGCGATAGGCGGCATTCATTATGGCACTGGGCGTCATATGGATACGCTGTCGTTTGAGCAGCAGTACAAGGCTCTGCGGGTATGATGGCATCCCCCTTTGTTGGAATGAATGAAAAAACTAACAGTCAACGCAGTACTGGTGGTTGTGCTACATTGCCTACTGCTGGGCCATGATTACATCCAAGATCTCCATTGGGCTCTTCCTGCTGCGCGTCACCGTCAAGAAGCTGCACAAGTGGATCATCTTCATTGCCATGGGCTTGACCGTCATGACTGGACTCATCTTCTTCTTCGTCACGCTACTACAATGCACGCCCATCCGGTTCTTCTGGGACAAACATATCGACGGAGGCACTTGTATCAATGTCGATGTCATCATCGCCCTTACATTTCTGTACAGCGCCATCTCCGTCATCAGCGACTTCACCTTTGCCATTCTCCCCTTCTTCCTCATCTGGGGCCTCAACATGTCGCTCAAAACCCGAGTCTTGTTGATTCCAGTCCTAGGAATGGCCTGCGTGTAAGTAGCCTACTACTTCTCTCTTCAACTAGCCAATCACTGACATATGTCTCCCTACCAGTGCCAGTATAGCCGTCTGCGTCCGCATGGGCTATGTAATGGATTTCAAGAACCCCGACTTTCTCTGGGCAACCGTCGACATCGCCATCTGGTCCGACATCGAACAAGGCCTTGCCATCACCGCCGGCTCCCTCGCCACGCTGCGGCCCCTCTGGCGCCAGGTCTCATCCGGCCTCGGCATGTCGTCCTCCTCCTTTGGGCCCTCGACGCCCTCCGGCATGCGCACACCGCAATGGAACGGCGACCCCACCACCACCAACGAGATCCGCAAGAAGCCGTCTTTTCTCAGTAGTATGAGATCCCTGTTTCAAGCTGAAAACCCGTCGTCCTCCGTAAAGGACGCCGACGACGATTACGGCATGGGCAACCTCGCGCCCATCCGCCTCCGCGACGACGTCTCAGCTGAGCCCGAGAAGAGCGACTCGGCGTTTACATCGTGGCGGATAAAAGGCGGCTGCAGCGACAGCGTATGTGACGAGGAAACCCGCATCGGCGGCATCAACACTGTGGAAACACATGTCGGTGCGAACAAGAACGATCGATGGCGGTGATGAAGCTCCTATCTAGTCGATTCTTCAAGCAACAGTAAAATTCATTTCAAAAATCATGCCCAGACACGAGAGCGATTTTTTTCTTCTTCATACCTAGCATTCATTGTCCTCTTTTATACCTGATTCGATTTCGTTTCGCTAGATACCAACCAAGACGTTATTCAATATTCAATATTCAATATTCCCCTCCCCCCCCCCACTTCAACATACATACATATATACATACAAGAAAAAAAGCCATCTAAACAATACAACTAGTAATATTGAACATACATCATACCTTTGAATATTGCTACGAGTGTGGTATATCCGGGGGGGTTATCTGGCTCTACTTAGTACTTTTATCTCCGCCCGTGTTTTTTTTTTGGACAGCTACAGCCCCCCCCCCCTGGAGGAAAAACCTGCAAGAAAAAGGAAAGATAGGAGAATAAGAAATACAGCGTTGGAGGCGCCTCATCCGCGTTCGCTTCCATGGCCGTTATTCCCTTTCCTTTTCTCTTCTTTTCCGAGATTGTTGTTTTCTGGTGCAAAGAACGCGGGGGGGGGGGTTTGCAAAAAAAAAAAAGAGAAAAAAAAAGAAATACCGAGACACACAAATTTAACTCCCACCGCACTGAATTGATTACTTTTTTTTCCTTCCTCCCCTCCTCCTCGTTCGTGTTCGTGTTTTCGTCTACTTTTACTGTAGGGAGTTGATAAAAAAAAAGTTGGATTTAATTCACTTGTGCTCCGCGGATACTACACACACGCGTACAGAGAGAGAGAGACAGAGAGAGAAAGAGAGAGAGAGAGCGAGATAGAGATGTACAACGTGCATGAATCGGAAATTTGCTTTGGCTTTTTTTTTCTTTTTCGCAAGGGAGATGCATTTATGTATATTTCACATATCATATCGAGGATTGACCTATTTTACGTTAGACGTTCATTCATCCATTCATCCACATATACTCGATAATCACACTAACAAGCAACAAACAACAAACAAACTCCAACTTCTCACACACATATCTACCGCACATTCCCCGTTCTCGCTCTCAAAAAATCCTCAATTTGTTCCCTAGACGGCTCGTCGTCCTCCACGGAACAAGACGAGCTTTTCGGCTCCGCGGGGAGTACTGGGTCCACTACCGCTACGGGGGTAGGGGTAGTATTAGTAGTGGTAGCGTCGCAGCCGGCGCGGTCTAGTGAGACGGCATTTTGTGCCGGAGCCGGAGCAGCGGCAGTAACAGCGGTAGGAGAATTATGATTATGATTATGGTTATAATTGTAATTATTAGTCGAGACGTTTTTTTCGTTTCCGCGTGGACCCTGGCTGTGTTCTAGAGCGCTGTCGCTGTCGCTATTAGTATTGGCATTGCTATTGCCGGTGCTAACGCTGCTGCCGCTGTCTTGGTGCCGGGACTGAGATGCAGCGCGCGGCTGGTTGCATGGCGTGCGAAGCGGGTGGAACGGACTAGCTTTTGTAGCTGCAGCTTCTTTATCGACTTTCCAGATGCCGGCTTTGTGGTCGACGGTGTAGCTATGGTGGCCATCGTACTGGACGAGTTTGTCGAAGACGGGGTCGTTAGTTACGCGTTCGAAGAAGATGGGTTGGAAGGTTTCGCCTGCTGCTTCTTCGTCTTTGCGCATTTGGCGCTGGCCGGTTTCGACTTTGGATTTGGCGGCTGCGACGGCTTTCATGTCGCCGTTGTGCAGCGCGGTTATGACGTCGTGCCAGGCTTTGCGCGACTCCCAGGGGTCTTGCGAGGAGAGAGGGGCCACGGTGATGGGTTTGTGTTGGATGCTGCGCACGTCAAAGGTTTCGATTTCTTTTTCGCTATGCCCGTCGCTAATGCTGAATGTGCTGTTCCACGTGCCTTGGATGGTGTAGATGGTATCGGATGGGTTGTCCTTGTGGAAGAAGCGCGCGTGAAAGCCATTCTTTTGGCCGGACCCCAGCAGCGACTTGCCCTCGAAATGGATATGCGATATGTATCCATTAGAGCAGATGAGCGAGTAGTCGCCGTACAGCTCAGGATGTGGGACGCCACTGAGGAGGCCTTTGACTTTGATGTTGGGCAAGGGAAGCAGGTAATCCTCGTCGTATTTATCGAGGTGAACAATTGCGTAGCCCATTTGCTTGATGGCGACATTGCCGGAAAAGGTAATTTCCTGTTCCGTGAAACCCTCTGCGCGGATACCAACACGGTCGTTCCACAGATAGCACGCAGTGACTGGCGGATGGTGTCCGACCTGCTCAGATACGAGCCTCGTTTCACCAAGCTCTTCTATATCCCAGCTTCCGAGGAAGAGCTCCCCGAGGAAAGCATTCAAAGGCTTCTTCACACCGTCCTCTTCCTGGCGCCCTCCATACTGCTGACCGCGTAGTGAGCCAAGGAAGTTCTTCAACACGAGAAGCGCCCGCTTTTCCGGATCTTCTTCGGTTGCCGGCGCGGCCCATAGGTATGGGTGGTCTGCCCAATACTGCGGTATTTCCACGGTTGAGTTATCAGCCAGTACGAATGGCGGTGCAGTAATGTTTGAAAGATCGCCCGAGATGGTCGCTATGGAGGCAAGAAATTCTTTCAGACCAGATCGATTTTGAGATATATCGTTGGACATGTTGGCGGCTTTGAATTTTGATGACGCTCTTCTGTGGGTAGCATACTGTTGACCGGGGTGGATGTAGTTATGCAAATGGTATATTGGGTATTGGCCATGCCAAGTCATGACGTCGGTGCGCGCTAGCGTAGCTGAGATCTAGGTTGCTAGGCAGTGCAGCGATGATTCAACCGATCCATCACACTTGGGACCGATTCATCGTGGCTGCAGCCTCACACGGCTCGGCCGTATAGCCAGGGGTATCTTCGTATTCGCACACACCTAGTGACTCGAGGTGAAGTGCGCCACCACCGGCCAGGCCGGCCCTGCATCACACCAATCTTACATAGTCTACTCGACCATGCACACGCTTCCTTTTTGATCCGACGCTAGGCACACTACCGCCATGGAAGTTTGCAAGTCAATTAAGGACATACCGTCATGTAAACTAAAATGCGTTGTGCAACTGACGTGGGTTGAACATGTTTTTCGACATTGGTTGCCATGGAGAAACAGACTTGTGCTCGGTGTTGGGCATGAAATATGCAGTTTCAGAAATCCGAAACTGCTTGTCAACGTCACCTCGTGACGGGCTGCCACTGACAGCATCAACTGGATTACAAGACACGCATGACAAGCCAGGGTAGGGCCCCTAGACAGGTGTCAAAATGTCAATACACCCCGTGCGACGTTGTTCTCTTCAAGTCGGTTTTCCAGATATTTGGGTCTCCCACCAAGTGATTAGAAAACTGGCTGTATTGAAAGAAAAGAAAAACAAACTATCATAAAAACGTGCCGCTAGCGACCATTACATATAGGCTTTCAACATGATGGGATATATTAAAAGTAGAACAAGACGAAAAAACATGTAAGCAAGCCGTCCTCCATTTCCGATGTAGACTTGATTGGGTGCAATCCATCTAGGAGCAGCCAACAACGCTGGTGTATGTACGGCGAAAAGGCAGAACGCGTAAACCAGGTAGACTATGCCTGGTTGCCCATGCTTAATCCCAAGAGCTCGAATAGTATGGGGTTTCCTGCCACTGCTATGTATGCAATACCTGATTCCTATTAGCATGTGCAGTAGATGATGTGTTGGGGTTTGACGTACCAGTATAGACAATCAGCTTTGTTACGACTTCAACATCGTAGCGTACTCGTGGCTTCGTAAGCTTCATGAAAATCTCACGCTTCTCTTCTTCTTCCGTCGGGCTTCCCGTGTAAATGTTGCCTGCGACGTCCATATCACTCTCGGGTGGAGTCAGAGGAGTCTTCTCGTCCAACTGGACTTTTCCTGTACCCATCATCCGCTCGTAAGACTGTACGCGAGATGCCATTGGTGTTGGTAGCAGACCTGTACCAAGTAGGGGGTCCGACTTTTCCACATTGGGCGTATCAAGAAGTGGAGGGCCTGATACATCTGCAGAGATTGCAGGGATCTTACCGTCGACTGAGTTGACACTCTCACGTCGACGACGATTGCGGTATGCGAGCGTCTCATATGCATCTGCGGCGGACTGGGGACCAACCGAGACGGATCGCGTGCGTGGATGAGCGAGGTTCTTGAGCATATGCGGCAGTTCAGAAGCAGGTGGGATGACATTGTCGTCGTCGGCAAACGGCTTAATCGAACTATACTTGGAGGCGTTCAAGAAGAAAGCTCGGGGCATGTTCCAGCGAGCCTGTTCAAGGAGACGGAAGATGGGAGGCAGGATGGAGAACAAGGCTGGCTTCATGGTTGATCTCCAGACGAAGATGACAACGACACCTAGCAAGATACGCAGCGTTGCCTTGAGCCATCCCATCTGTTGCAAGTCAAAGGGAACGGAAGACGGATATGCATCTGGCAAGGCGTAGCTAGTTTGGGCAAAATGCCACGCGCCGAGGTTGATGCCAATGACGACGCCAGCAAACGACACACTGTCGTCGTAGCAGGGGCAGTCGTCGGCGGGCTCAGGGTGGATACGGACCAGAACGCAGAGGGCCAGGGTCGCAATGAAGATGTGCAGGACGCTGCCACTAAAGATCCACGAGTCGGCCCAGTCACCGAAGGCGAGCTGCAATGCGGCAATGGCGGCGCCCATGATGCTCCCCACTATGACGTCGAGGAAGCCGTGCATGCCGCAATATAACCGGCCGGCAATGATGGACAGTGCGTAAAAGTAGAAGAGGCCCTGCAGGGCCATGTTCACGTTAGGATTGTCCGTTTGGGCGGACTGGCGCAGCGTGTAGATGGCATAGACGGCCACCGACACGGCATTGGCCGAGTGGGACGAGGGAAAGCCATACTCGAGGGCAGCCGAGCCCGACATGGATATGCGGGCGAGGGGCGGGGACAGGGGCCGAGGGAGGCAGAGCAGGTCCTTCAGGAAGCCGGTGGTGTAGACACCGGCAGCGAGCATGAAGACAGTCCTATGCACGTCAGCCAGGACAGCGTGGCCCGGGACAGAAGGTAGCGACATACGCTCGGCCCACGCTGGTGTAGCCGCACCAGAACTGGATGGGCAGGAAGACCATGAAGAAGGTGTGGGTGCCGAGGTTGGCAGTGTAGGCAAAGTACGAGTCGAGGGCGGGCGAGCGCATCTTGTCCTGCAGCAGCGCCAGCCACGGCGTCTCCCAGCGTATGATGGGGATGAGGCGGTTGCGCAGCGTGTTGCGCCATCGGGGCAGGCGCTGGGCATAGTGGTCATGGCCCATATTCCCCGCGTCCAGCTTGGGCGCCGCCTCTGCCGTGTCGGCCACGGGCGCTTCATCTTGCTGCTGACACATGGCGGCGGCAGTGGGTGCAGGAGGAGGGACGAGGGCGAGGGCGAGCCACTCGACTGTGCATGTCCAGGGCGGAGGAGGAGGCAGCAATGGCGGGCGTGGTGGTGGGGGCGGCGGCGGCGGTTGTAGCGGGCGTGGTGAGGGATGCTGACAGCGGGCGTGGTGAGGGATGCTGACAGCGGGCGTGGTAGAGGTGGTGGTGGTGGTGGTGGTAGTAGTGGAGGTCGTATATAGGGCTGTGCGCCGGCGTCGTCGGCTGCATCAGCATTGGGGGGCGGGCGGCGGGCTGGCATGCTGGGCCCGATGGGGACTAGCGGCGTCGACGGCTGGCGCTAGCTTAGCGAGCCCGCTGGGGGCGGCGAGGCGATAGCGTCGTTGCCATATGCGACCGAGGCACCGCAACAATCAACATATAGCACTATCACCTCTCGCACGCCTCGACCACTCGCTCCCCACACTCAAGCTCCCCAAATACCAACCCGCCAGCTCTGCTCGCGCCCCCCCTCCGTATTCATAGTCTTTGTTTGTCCCCTTTCCGCGCCACCACCACCAGCTGATCTGCTCTGCTCCCAGATCATGGCCGCCACCGCTTCCTCGCAAAACTACGACTATCTCCGGCGCAAGCAGAGCACAAAGTCGCCCGTCTCGTCGACGCCGGCGCGCGGCCATGCCCGCACCCCCAGTGAGCGCAACAGCAATGGCACCGTCAGCTCTTACGGCACCACAAACACGCGCGACACAGCCATCACCGAGCCCCCGGCCTACTCGAAGAAGCTGGTGGTCGTGGGCGACGGTGGCTGCGGAAAGACATGTCTGTTGATCAGCTACAGCTCGGGCAACTTCCCAGAGGTAGGCCCGCCCGCCCCGAGCCGACACCGCCCGCAAGACTAATCCGCCCCAGAAATATGTGCCCACCGTCTTCGAAAACTACATCACCCACACGCCTCATCCGCCCACCGGCAAGATGGTCGAGCTGGCTCTGTGGGACACGGCCGGCCAGGAGGAATACGACCGGCTGCGGCCCCTCTCGTACCCCGAGACAGACGTCATATTCGTCTGCTTTGCCATTGACTGCCCAAACTCGCTCGAAAACGTCATGGACAAGGTAAGCAGCCCAACGAGGCCGCACATGAGCCATGGCTCTGTACTGACGCCGTCCAGTGGTACCCCGAGGTGCTCCACTTCTGCCCAACCACACCGCTCATGTTGCTTGGGCTGAAATCCGACCTGCGCAACAAGAAGAACTGCATCGAGCTGCTCAAGACACAAGGCCTGACGCCCGTCACCTCGGAGCAGGGCCGTGCCGTGGCCGACAAAATGGGCGCCGTTTACATGGAGTGCAGCAGTAAGGAGCAAGACGGTGTCGAGGAAATCTTCGACATGGCCGTCACCATGGCCGTCGGCGAGGAGCAAAAGGAGGAGGAAGACAACCGCCAGAGCACAGCCACGTCGACAACAAGAGGGAACACATCGCCAGCGTTCCCCACAGGGGGCGGTAAGAAGAAGAAGCGCAGCGGCTGCACCGTCTTGTAAACTTGGTATCACGACGCTGGACGACACGATCAATATGTTTTAATGACCACACGCGGCTCACCTCCGCCACTGTCCTAGCATGATCGCTTCCTTGCACACTTGATAGGGAGGCTTCTCATCGACATGGTCCGGGGGCGTTCTGGGTTTTCTTTGGCATGACAATGGGCATAGCGAGTCCAAACGCCCACATCAGCATTTCCCTTTTTCTTGTATCTGTATTCGGTATTTAGTATATGCGCATAGCGAGATTGTTTTTCTGCCTGCGCTGGAGAAGTGAATGAAGCGCTTGATTTTTTTTTGAAAGTCTTGAACTCTGCACCAATCTTACCACGTGCACCATGGCTAGTGACTTTCGGCATGCGCCCGGGAAGTGGGTGATGAAGTGCTTGTTGTTTTTTGAAAGTCGTCTACTCCCTGCACCGATCTTACCACGTGCACGATTGCTCATGCTAGTGACCTTGTTGCGGAGTATCATTACATCATGTGCCGTCCTGTTTACATGGCTTACATGGCCGTGCGCTGCTGGGATTGTGTTGTCACATCCGCCCTGCGCGCCTCATTTTCTGTCCTCGGGCACTTCAGTCTCCCCCTCGTGCTCAGTGGCCCCCTCTTGCGTGCTTTCCTGCTGCTGCTCGTTGGGATCCTTGGTCATGACGTTCTCAAAGTGACTCCATAGCGACTCGACGGGCGCGAACTCGTTGCCGACCGACGTGACTTCTTCCAGCGAGCGGTTGAGCTTGTTGATGTTTTGCAAAACGACTTCGAGACTCTGCCACACTCGTCAGCATGCAGCTCCCCCACCGAGTATTGCACCGCCGTGCATGTCGCAACCGTCACCATACTTGGGCAATCTCCGTCACCAGCATCTCGCGCTGCTGCTCGTAGTAACTCTTGGGCGGGCCGGTCTCCTGGCCATTGGTAGATGCGGGAAAATACGGTGGTGCCATGGCGATGCGGTCTTGACCGGTCGTGGCAGCTGGTCGTGGTCGCGTCCGGAAGTGGTGTTGCGGGGACGCACGAGGAGCCTTGCCCTGGTCGCGCTAGCTAAGCGAAGCTACTGAAAAGTCGAGCTTTACCTTTAACTCTTTCCTTCTCCTCAGGACTTCCACGATGAAACCACACAAGTGACAGGTAAGCAAAATCTTTTCTAGCTCCAGCTGCGCGCAGCTTGCATGATGAACACCCAATAATCTGTCAATCCCCTGACTCCCACAAGATGGGGCCGTGGTGAAGCAATATTGTATTCACACTCTGATGCTCTAGCCAACTCAGCAACTCACCTCACCGCTACATTGGCCCATACAAAGCTAACCTTTGCCCTGCTCCAGACCACACAATGGCGCAAGCGCCTGCACCCAACTCAATCAAGGAACCATTTCCCATCTCCCTCGTCGGCGGTCGCTACCTGCTGTTTGATGTGGACGTCATTGCGCACTGTCGTCGCGCGCACAACATCTGCGGCCTCCTGGTGGGCACGATCCCGAACCTCAGTCAGCAAAACGTTTTTCTGGGCGTCCCGCTGGAACTCATGCCGGAAGAGGCTCGGGTACTCGTCGATAAAGGCGCTGCGTATATCGTGGATGATGCGCAGTTTCATGAGGAAAACTTTGCGCAGATGAGTCGCGAGGACAGACTCAAGTACATGGCAGAGATGGACAAGAGGGGAGAAGAAGTCGCCAAGGAGCAGAGGGAAGCTGCGGAGAGGAGAAAGGAAAAGGCCCTGCGCGAAAAGGGCTTGAAGACAGACAAGGGTGGCTCGACGTTGGAACAAACGCCCCAAGCGGACCACTCCGATCTTTCCAGCTCCGGTCTGGGCTTCATCATGAAAGGATCGGGCTTCTCAGACTCGCAGGTGCCAGTGAAGCCCGCCGAGATCGACTCTACTCCTAGTCTCAGTTCCAGTCCTGCCAGTCCTGCCAGTCCTGCCAGCTCTGAGAGCAGCACCTCTGATGCTCAGAACTCGGGTCTTGGGTTCATTATGAAGGGCTCGAGTTTCTCAGATTCGTGGGTCCAAGTCAAGCCACTAAAGATCGACGCTCCCGCGCCTGCGCCTGAGTCTGTGCCTGAGCCTGCGACTGGGCCTGCGACTGAGCCTGAGCCTGAGCCTGCGCCTGCGCATGTCTCGGCTCCCGCCCCCGAAGAGTCTCTCTTCGAGCCGGTGGCTGCTCCTGCTCCCGAACCCCCCAAAAATGTGGTCAAAGGTGTTGCTGGCCAGAAGCACTTCGTCACGCCCACAACCTCATACCCTCCTCTCGCAACTCCCGCCAAGGAGACCGCGGTTCCTCCTCCAAAGGTGCCAGACAGCTATCCGTTGTTCCGCTACCTGCACTCCAAAGGCTACTACCACATGCCCGGTCTGCGCTTTGGGTGCCACTACAATGTTTACCCTGGAGACCCGCTCCGATACCACAGTCACTTTGCTGCCACGGGTTTGGGCTGGGACCAGAAGTTTGAGCTGCTCGACGTTGTCGGTGGCGGACGTCTTGGTACAGGAACCAAGAAGGCCTACATGATTGGCGGTGAGGATCCCGAGATAGACGCCAATGAGAAGGAACCCGTGAGGGCTTTCTCGGTCGAGTGGGCCGCGCTATAAGGCGCATCGCCGGGTGGTTGCCCGGCGAAGATTATGAGTTTACGAATGCCATGCTAGAATAGAAGAAAAAAGAAACAAAATACAGTTCACTGCACACTGCACACTGTTGAGATTTGCGTGAGCGTGCATATGTACCAATGCTTTGGAACAAGAGTAATGCTGACACGTGCGACTCATGCTCAATTGCATGAGATGCGTAGCTCGGCAGCACGAAAAGATCTGTCACGATCTGTCGTTCCTGCAGATGGAATCCGCCAATGAGACGAGCGCAGTTTGACCCCGCTAATTGACCCCACGCGAGCCGTCTGCCAAAAGTTCATGCCCATCCATGCACAACCACTTGTGTGCGGGGGCACGACATCGCCATGGCTTTACTTGGGCTGCTCGAACAGCTGCCGGCTGGTAAGTGCTTCACATCCAAATCCAGCGCGCATTGCTGACGTGGGCGCAGAATTGCTGCTCATATGGCACGAGCATCGGCTTCCTATTTTGCTCTCAGCGCTGGTTGTAGCGACAATTGCGCGCCTCGCTATTTACTCGCGCGACCGGAGAGAGAAGCTATCCGAGTCACCAGCACCCCTATCGCCTGTCGAGAAGCAAAAGGTCGAGCTCAAGCCCGAATGGCTTCCGGAACACACCACAACCATCAGTCCCCCAGCCCTCAATGTCGATAACCATGCCGAGGACGATACAGGTGCGGTGGCGGTGGTCGCAAAGGCAAAGAAGGGTCCCAAGACAGTCAAGGGCAGGAAGGTACCGAAGAAGAATGTTGCACCAGTCCCCACGTACGACCATACGACAGATAAGATACAGCCCTTGGTTTTCTTCCAGTCGCTTTCTGGTACCACAGAGCGCTATGCTACGCAATTTGCAAAAACACTTACAGAGTGGACTGCTGGTTGCGACCAAGCCTCTTCCTTCCTAGAGCCTCAGATCCACGACATCTCGTACATCGAACACGACGACTATTTCGTAAGCCCGCCCAAGACTGACGCCAACGTCAAGCACTTTTACATCATCCTCGTGCCGACCTACAACATCGATACTGTCTTGGATATTTTCATCGAGGGTCTCCAAGAAACACACAATGACTTCCGCATCGACACCGCGCCGCTGAGTGGGTTGCTTGGATATTCCGTCTTCGGTTTTGGAGACAGGGAGGGATGGCCGACTGAAGACGAGGGCTTTTGCAGCCAAGCAAGGGAGGTCGACAAGTGGATGGCGAGGCTGACAGGCAGAAAGCGAGCATACCCACTAGGCATGGCTGATGTTAAGAGTGAGGCTGAAAAACGGCTGCAAGAATGGAGGATTGGTGTTCAAGAGGCCCTGGTCGAGATTGCTGAAGGACGAGGTCTCGGTGAGGGCGTGCCAGGGAGTGGTGACCCTGCTGAGAGCGACGAGGAAGATGTGGATGATTCGGAGGATGGAAACGGCCAACGCGTCGACGACGTCGAAGACCTAGGCTCCATGGTCAACTCCTCGTCGGCACCAATACCCATCGACTTCACAACATACAAGAAATCTACACCCAAGGCCAAACTCGCTCCAGCTCCAAAGGAGATGGTCCCAACTACATCTCCCACTCATGCCGCGCTCACAAAGCAGGGCTACAGCATCATCGGCTCACATTCTGGTGTCAAGATTTGCCGATGGACCAAGTCGGCATTGCGTGGCCGTGGATCTTGTTACAAGTACTCCTTCTACGGCATCGCTTCGCATCTGTGCATGGAGGCCACCCCATCTCTGTCTTGCTCCAACAAATGTGTCTTTTGTTGGCGACATGGCACAAACCCCGTTGGCACTACATGGCGCTGGGTGACGGATCCCCCTGAAATGATCTTCGACGGCATTACCGCCGCACATTACAAAAAGATCAAGATGATGAAGGGCGTTCCAGGTGTGCGTGCCGAGCGGTTCAGCGAAGCCATGCGCATCCGGCACTGCGCCCTGAGTCTCGTCGGCGAACCCATTTTCTACCCACACATCAACCAGCTGCTGGAAATCATGCACAAGAACCGCATCTCAACCTTTCTGGTATGCAACGCGCAGCACCCCGCACAACTGGCCTCTCTGATCCCCGTCACCCAACTCTACGTGTCGATTGACGCCTCCAACAAAGACAGCCTGCGCAAGATTGACCGGCCGCTCCACCGCGACTTCTGGGAGCGCTTCTGCGCCTGCCTCGATATTCTGCGCGCCCGCCGCTTCGAACAGCGCACCGTCTTCCGCCTCACGCTCGTCAAGGGCTTCAACATGGCCGACGAAGTGCGCGGCTACGCCGACCTCGTCGAGCGCGCCCTCCCCGGCTTCGTAGAGGTAAAAGGCGTAACCTACTGCGGCACCTCGGCCGCCGGCTCCGCGGGCCTCACAATGCAAAACGTGCCCTTCTACGACGAAGTCGCCGCTTTTGTCACGGAGCTGGAAAAAGAACTCAACAACCGAGGTCTGCAATACGGGATTGGCGCCGAGCACGCGCATTCCTGCTGCGTTCTCCTCGCGGACCGCAACCGCTTTATGCGCGACGGCCGCTGGGCTACTCGCATCGACTTTGACCGCTTCTTTGATCTCTGCGAGGGAAAAGTCCAGGGATCGAGGGTTGAAAATGAGATTGTAGTCGGTTGGCGCCCGGAGGATTACCTCGGCCACGACACGCCTGAGTGGACGTTGTGGGGGAATGGCGGGTTTGATCCCAGAGATGCGCGCGTGTATAGGAAGGGGAAGGGACCCAAGGTTGAAGAGGTTAAAGAAGAAGAAGAAGAAGATGATGATGATGATGATGACGATGAGAAGAAGATGATGAAGGGTTCAGCAGCAGCGGCTTTGGAGTTTTAGAATCTTGTGTATAGCTGGATATACGTGTGTTCAAGACATTCATTCATTCAGTCATTCATTCATTCATGCATTTTCATCCAAGCGTTTCTTGATTTTGATTTTGATTTTGATTTTGATTTTGATTTTGATTTTGATTTTGATTTTGATTTTGATTTTCCTTTTTTTTCTTGTTCTTCTGCTTCTGCTTCTGCACGCAATGGAAAAGAAGAAGAAGAAGAAGAAGAAGAAGAAGAAGAAGGAGAAGAAGAAGAAGAAGAAGAAGAAGGAGAAGAAGAAGGAGAAGAAGAAGAAGAAGAAGAAGAAGAAGGAGAAGAAGAAGAAGAAGAAGGAGAAGAAGAAGAAGAAGGAGAAGAAGAAAAAAAAAGTCATGTAACAAACAAAGTCCTGGTATCATCCATCTATCGCGCATTAACATGAGTCACATCACAATTGAAAGATTTTTTTTTTCTTTCTTTCACTCATTTCCAGAGAGGTCCTGGTCGCTCCAAAGCAAGGGCTCCTTTTCATCCACGCATGCGGCATTGCTATCTTTATTCTCGACATGACGCCTCCTCGACGCATTCAAACCGGCATAGGTGCCTCCCTTTACGATTTCCTTGGTCTCGCCAACGGTGCCAAAGCAGCAATGCTCGACTTTGCCCAGGGGGCCTTCCTTGGGATCGTCTTCGAGCAAGACGCCAAAGCGCAGTTTGGTCTTGGTCAGGTCCTTGGGGAACGGGTCGCCGCCGAGGCAGGCGCCTACGCTGAGATGGTCGAGTGTGGGATTGCGCGTGGTGACCATGATGCGGGAGAAGAGGACATCGGAGGCGACGCCGTTGCGGTACAGGGACCATGCGCCGACGAGCATGAAGGCAAAGGTGACGGCGATGACGATGGCGTAGCCGATCCAGAGGTTCTGCTTGTAGTAGACGTAGACCATGCGGGTTTGCGACTTTTGGCACGCCAGATCCTGCGCGTCGGCGATGACGAGGTTGGGCTCGCTGAGCAAAGTGATGAGAATGTCTTCGAAGAGATCTTGCATTTCCGTCATAAGATCCACCAGCGGATACGCGGTGCTGCTGTTGGCGAGCCGCGTTTCGGAGAGGTCTGTGTAGGTGATGAGGACTTTGTTCTTTTCGATTTTCCCACGTAAAAAGCCACGCAGGAGCTTGCCCAGCGTGTGGTAGGCGCTCGTTACTTTGTATTTTCCCACGTCAGTATTGGGCCTGATGAAGTTCTCCTCGGGAGACGCGGTCCAAGTGGCATTGGTCTCGTCCCATTCAACGGTCGTGTCGATTACCGGGTTGAGGAAGTCGCGCTGCTTGCGCGTTGCGTTTTGCTTGGGGCTGTAGGACATTTCAAAAGTGTAGTTGGTGTAGTGCATGACGCACTTGAACATTTTTGGCTCATGGACGTTTCCCCATATTGGGTACAATGGCGAGTCCTTGGGGTAGGGCGTCGAGGTGTTGATTGCGTAGCCTATCCAAATGATGGGTTCGCTTTTCATGACGCCCAAAGAGTCTCCCATTGTGTCTGGATTCTGGTATCCGTAATCACCCTGGTCGACGTCTGCGTAGTAGGTAAGGTTTCCTTTGGGTGCAAGTAGGTCCATGGAGAAGGGTGTCTTTGTGCCATCGGCAAAGTCGATATCCTCGCATTTGTATCCCGGACCCATAAAGTTGATCGAGTATGTGCAATTCCAGCTTTGCCCACAAAACGAGGTCGCGGCGTTATCGCGGGGCTGTGGCTTTTGCACGTACACGCTGCTGAAGGCCAAGCGGCGAGCGGTCTTGGACGGCTGGTCGTAATAATCAAACCAGCCCGGTTTCTCCGCCTTGATGTCCGTTGTATTGCTGAAACTCAAAGACTTTTTGTAGAACATGGCAGCGTCGCGAAAGTCATACGTAGACTCCTGCTCAAAGTTGAGGTTCGCTGCAGAGCATACGGCAGTTTCGTTCAAGGTTCTGAGCTCAGACGTAAGTGAGGCGGGAGAAAGAACAGAGGCCAGGGGTATCAGCCTTAGGTAGGAGTCAGTAGGGCTCGTTTCTTAGGATTTGCCCAACTTACCATGTGCAAGCTGCCATGAAGGTTGCCAGCTTGCCATTTCTAGTCATTTCCCAGTTGGTGAAGAACTGCGTGGGGTCTTCAGGAGCCGAGAACAGACCGTCGATGCCTTTGATTGTCATTGCTTTCCGCCGGAATGTGTACCAGATGCGTTGACGATTGCACATGACGGCGGTCCCGACGAGGGTGCTTCTGACGAAAAAAGCCAGTGCTGTGCCATATCGAACCATTCTCAACTGCGCTGTAGCCGGCTCTCCGTTTAGGTGGTCATAGAAGACATGGTGGCCGACTGCTGCGGCGAAGCCCGCGACGAATAGCGTTATCATGAGGGCGGGCGTTGTCCAGTAAATGTGCCATTGCGCCAATTCACCCGCCCTCCTGTCGACTAGAGCCTGTGTGTCGGCGTCTCTCGTCTTGTTGCTGTACAGACCGATGACGCTCTGTGATTGCAGAGAGGGCCCAATGCTATTGTTTCGCATGCGGACAGGTTCGTATTCGCCACTGCCTTGAGACAGTCCGAACAAGTTGCCGGACTGTGCTCGGCCGCGGGGGTCGTCATTCAAGTCGCGAGGCGGGGAGCGTCCCCGGGCGGCATATGTGTCGTCGCCATGGTCGAGCGAGGTTCTGGATAGGCGCGCCAGCTCGATGGGGTCGTTGTCTGAGCGGAAGGGATCGTAGGGCTCGGGGTGGGATCCCGGCGAACCATGTGGCGACGAGTCGGTGGAGCGGAGGCCTCGAGAGGTCATGGTAAGGGTGCCCCTGAGCGTCGTGTGCTGTCGCGGGGCGTGTATCCAAAAGTACGCGACTTGGCTAGCGTCCAGCGACGAGGTGCACCTGGACGGCGTGTGGTCGCACAGCATTCTCAAGCCGAGAGGGGCGCGAACACGTGTTTGGCGGCGAGGCTATCCGTGGAACGTGCGAGGACGGTTTCCCATTCCTGTCCACGAAGGCGGCCGTCGACGCTTTATGCATGGCGTTTTCTAGCTGTAGTCGTGCCGATGGACAGGGTCGGGAACAGCGGAGGTGCGGACGGGCCAATGCTCGGCCTCTGGTGGGCTGCGGATATGGGCGCATTGGACGCCACTACGCCTGCGTGGCTGATGAGACCAAGGGCGCAGGAGCTGAAGAGTAAGCTGATAAATGATATTGATATGGCATACAGGCTGTACTGCTCCAATGCTTCCATGGCCATGTCAGTCGCTGTCGCCGCAACCGTGGGTGGCCGCATGCAGCGCGCCAAGCCAATCACCTCGACTGGATGCTCTGTCCTCGACTCGGGTCGTCTGCTCTGGCGCTGTCAGACGTTTCATCATGATTGCGTGCAGCTGGAGAGAGGCTGTGCTGTGAATGGAGCAACGCGTCAGTGCTGACAGACGGTATCAGGATCGAGGTTGAGCACGGCGGGCACAGCCAGAGAGGGACAGCGGCTCAGCGTCGAAGGCAATCGAAGGCGGGGCGGGGCACGGCCAGGACGCAACACCACGCGAGAGCATCGTGTTCCTCTTCAGACCCACCCGCACACCCGCAAACATGGAGAGCTTACAAATGCAAACGCACCTCCGACCCTCTTCCTCCACCACAGGCAACTGGCAGCCCCGAGTCTTCGCCGCCACGGCCCCCGTCTGGCCCATTGTCCTTCTCCCCCAGTGGCCAAGGCCGGCAGTTTGCATGTTGCACCACACGCACAGTGCCATGTTCCCCGTTCCTGTCCTTGATCGCCCGTGTCGCCACCAGTGTCCTACGCTAACTGCCCGACATGGCCGTAGCCTACAAGGTACCCGGGGGGCCGTGACGTTAGATTGAGTTAGTGAGCCGTCCTGCTCTTGCGTCACTATCGGACCTTTGCCCTCATGCACCCCACTCGACAATCTGTGATAATGTGCACACATAAGACAAAGTAGCCGTCATGGGCGCGGGGCCAGGGGAACACCCATAAAAGCTGCCCGATACCCCCTCCATCCGCCATTGCATATTCCAAAGGCTTCTTTTTTTTCACCGTGTAAATCGTTAGCCAGGGACCAAAGCTGCTCTGTAAACCAATCCTACACCTAAATAATATCCAAACATGGCGCCGTCAACCACAAAGGCATGGACCATCCAGGGCCAGAACGGCTTCGACTCGCTCAAGTTCAACGAGCAGGCCCCGGTGCCTGAGATGGGCGACCGCGATGTCCTCGTCAAGAGTATGTACTTCCAAGCACACAACAACAAACAGATTCAAAACACTGACACTGTGCCAGTCCACGCTGCCTCCCTCAACTACCGCGACCTCATCATCCCCAAGGGCAGATACCCCTTCCCACTCAAGGACAACATTGTCCCCGGCTCAGACGGTGCCGGCACCGTAGAAGCTGTCGGCAAGCACGTCACACGCTTCCAGCCCGGAGGTACGTACCCACCGAAGACGATGCTTCAGACGGAGAAAAACTGACAAAAAGCTACACAGACAAGGTCGTCACGCTCTTCAACCAAGGCCACATAGCCGGCTCCCTCGACGCCCAATCGCTCGCCACGGGTCTCGGCGGCGCCATGGACGGCACCCTGCGCGAGCACGGCGTCTTCGACGAAGCCGGGCTCGTCAAGGCACCCTCCAACCTCAACATGCTGGAAGCCTCGACGCTCTCGTGCGCCGCCCTCACAGCGTGGAACGCTCTCTACGGCCTCGAGTCGCGCGCCCTCAAGCCCGGCGACACGGTCCTGACCCAGGGCACCGGCGGCGTCAGTCTGTTTGCCGTGCAATTCGCCAAAGCCGCCGGCGCAAAAGTCATCGCCACAACGAGCTCGAGTGCAAAAGCCCAGCTGCTGACAAAATACGGCGCCGACCACGTCATCAACTACAAGGAAACGCCCAACTGGGGCGAGCAAGCCGCAAAGCTAGCAGGCGGCACAGGCGTGCAGCACGTAGTTGAAGTCGGCGGTCCCACCACCATGGCGCAGTCGTTCAAAGCCGTCGCCATCGACGGCGTCATCACCATCATCGGTTTCATCGGCGGCGGCGGCGGCGCAGACAAACAGCCCACCTTCCTCGACTGCCTCGAGAACCTGTGCACCGTCCGCGGTCTCCTCGTCGGCTCGCGCCTGCAAATGGAAGACATGTGCCGCGCCATCGAAGCCAACAACATCCACCCTGTTGTCGATGAAAAAGTGTTTGAGCTCAAGGACCTCAAGGACGCGTACCAGTACATGTGGGATCAGAAACACTTTGGTAAGCTGACCATCAAGGTTGCTGCCTAGACATTTCAGCCTTGTATAACAGAGTCCATCTTCACGTACATGATATAATCAAAATAAAGAACATGTTAGTTACCTTCAGTCAAGCATGTCCCATGAGTTACGTGGTGGTAAGAAGAAAAAAAAAGTCTAATGCAACAATGCATTGCTTCGATAACTACTCTGGATTTTGATACAAGAAGCAGAAATGCCATGTACAAGAACTAATCAACCTTTCTCTCGTAGAATGCGCCAGCCGAATGGAACCATGTCCCATTCAAAACTCAGCAAGAGAAAAAAAAGGCCAGCTAAAAAAACAATCGAGCCTCTGTGGGCAATCGCGGGGGTATCGTATATATCTCTCTCTCTGTGTGTGTGTGAGGGGGTATCAAATCATGCATCGTGTTCCCGTGAAAAAACGACTGAACACCAGTACTATGCGCCATGCTAAAGCAGAATATGTCCCCTCCCTGTCCCAAAACCGTGCTATGCAATGCAATAATGAAAATTCGTCTCGGCCCAGCACATCGACCCGTTTCGCTCGGCTCGGCTCAGCTCAGCTCCGTCGTGGGATGTCCAGCAAGCAGTGTAGCTGCAATCCGCTGCCGCGCGTCGTCCATGCCGTTCGTGGCAAGCACCAGCTTGGTGTCGTCGCCCCGGAGAAGCGCCAGAGCATTCAAGAGAGTAAAAACACCACAGTCGCTGCCATTGAGCTGCTGACTGCTGCGCTGAGGCCTGTCCTGGGTCCACTCGTCGGCAATGTAGAGATCTCCCAGCTCATTCTTCAGATATTCAACCAGCTTGTCGATGTATTTCTGCCCATCCAGACTCATCGAGTCGAGGTATTCGATGCACCGTTTCTTCGGATAAACCGCAAGCAGACGCCAATGGCCCCGGTCGCAGATGGGATATAGAATCAGCTCCGCGTCCAGATACTGCTTGCCTTTGAGCTGGAACCGGTTCGACCACCGTGACGTGTCCGCAGTGCTATACCAAAACGATGAAAATGCATGGACTGGAGGGGCCGGGCCGCCGCGCTTGTGCTCGAATCCTGCTTCCTTCTTCTTGGCCGCCACCAGAATCGCAAGATACTCATTGACAATGTTGTCGTTCAGCCAGGCCCTGGGGTCGCCGTTGAAGAGTCGGGGTAATAGTGTCGCAAAATCTCGCGCATACAGCTTCTGATCGATGACCCACTTGTCCGCCTTCAGTCCGTGGCTGGTGTTTGCTGCGGCTGTGTGCAAAATGTCCGTCTCTTCAGTGGATAGTGGGGTAATGAGGGGTTTGGGCGGTGGAGGAGGTGGCGCCAATGCAAGCTTTGTCTTTAAATCATTCTGAAGCTCTTGTACAAGCTCAAGGGAGAGCGCAGACTCTTCGAGCGAGTCGTCGGAAGCATCAAAAGTGTCCAAAGGTATACCATGGAAACCGCCATCGTTGGCATGGGAGTCGTTTGCTGCAACATGTGGACTGTTGTCTGCTGAAGAAAAGGGTGATGATGGGGTATGGCTGTTGTCGGATCCGGCCTGTCCATTGCACTGGAAATTGTGCCACATCTCCCGCACAGGGCTGGACTGGATGATTTCTAGCGTAGAGTCGAGCATGTCGCTAACTTTCTCGTCACAGTAGAAAGGCTTCGCTCCTGCATGCTTTGCCCACCGCACGCTTCGTCGAGGTGGTGGGGTTGGCGCATCTAAAAGGAACGAGAGATCATTGGCGTATTCAAACTCGGGCTCAACTGATTCGTTGTCGGCCTTGGTAGGCGAGGCGTCCACCTTGGATAGGGCTTCTACGTGCGAATAGGATGAAGCATCGGACAAATATGAGAGATCCTGATTGACTGCCTCAGTGGGGGTGATTTTAATTGGCCCGGGCTCGGCGAAACCCTGATCCGTGTATTCTGTTCGGGGCTCGGCCAGTCGGGTGGCTTGAATACGCCGGTGTTCCGCACCGAATTGTAACTTGACTAGTTGGCGACGCATGGGCGTGAGAGAAGGCAATTTGGGAGTGCGATGATTGGCGCGTTTTGGGTTTTGGGCGACGTCCACATGTTCCTTGGCGCGCGATAGGACTGGTCTCTGATAGACCTGACCGACAGGCGAGTGACTCTGTGGCAGGTCGCATGATGACGCGGAGTAGGAATTGGACTCCAATTTCTTATTATTGACCGGGGAAACACTTTTGGTATACGAAACAGTCCGTGGGCTCCTCCAGGGCACATGTACGGGTGAGCCTGTATGCGGATTGCGAGGCGGAGTCGAGGTGAGGATGTCATCGAAAGAGAAGTCTATGCTGATGTCGCCGTCGTCGCCGTCGATTTCGGCTTCGGGTTGGGGTGCGTATAGAGATGCTGGAGATGTCTCAAAGCCTCTATTGCCTGCGCTGGCATGTGTGCTTGGCGATTGTGACGCGGGTGTCGTCTTGGGAATTTGCGGTGAACTAGGCGCGTGAATCCATCTTTGCGGCGATGCAAAGGATGCGAGAGTGTGATATTGCTTCTGGCGACGCGCCTGATGCGCGCGCGCGCGTACCGATGGTGACGGCGCTTCATCTTCTGTTGGCCCGGCAGCCACGAAGCGCTTCTTGTTGGATCCTGTAGAACTGGCGATTGGGATTGCCTTGATGGCCTGTCCGCGTAGAAAGTGGTTTGCGATGCGACCCGGCAGACGGAGCAGGTTGGCTACGCTAACTGTCGCAGCCCATCGGCCGAGGGTTGTGAAGAATGAGGTTGGCGCGGATACGGGCATGACATCTTCGGCAATTGCGGGGCCTTCGGGCCAGGCACCCGGTATGCAGAGGCGGGAGCTGGAGTAAGGGGTTGGCTGATGCGCCTGGCTTGACTATGAGGTGAGACCGAGCGAAGTAGTACGGTGACGACTTACTTGCGGCTGGGGAGCGTCAAGGGCATCGGGGGCGGTTGAAGCGTCTGCCGGCGTGCTGCAAAGGAAAGCGCTATATGCGCGCTTGTTGGACATTGTCGCTATTGCTGGGCGCGTGGGGAGGCGGCGATGAGCAACAGTGACAATGGGGTGGTAGAGTGGAGAAAGGACGAGGTCGCGGGTGCTGGGCAAAGCTGCCCGCAGTAGCGCGAACAGCTGTTCGCGCTAGCCACACTCACGTGACGCCTCGTCGAATCGCCCGGGCCTGGAGAAACCATATTCCAGCGGCGCCTTGCCTTGGTAGAGTGCGTGCGTAGTATTGATTCACCCTGTATATCCAGTGTTAAACCCTGCTGCCACGCCTGCTAATTCTCTGCACACGACCCCAATCTCGCCGGCCCTCCTTCCCACGCCCCCCAAGCCGGCACGCCATATCGCGCGTACTCGTATCCAGTCCACGTCATTGGCCGAGTTTGAAGGGAAGAACCCCTCGACAGCTCTACACCACAACACCCGACCACCCCACCTACACCGAACCCGCCGCCCCGCAATCATGGATACCAACATGGAGGACGTCAAGATGCCCGAGCCCATGCAGATGTCGTCGGTCCCCACGTCGGAGCCGACCACAATTCCCACCCTGGACGGCTGGATCGAGAGCCTCATGAACTGCAAGCAGCTGGCTGAGAGCGATGTGCAGAGGCTATGCGACAAGGTATGCGCCACTCGCTCGCGCAGGTAAACGGCAAAGACTGCGTATGCTGACTGCACTGTGCCCCAGGCCCGCGAAGTACTCCAGGACGAGTCCAACGTGCAGCCAGTGGTATGTGCCATCCTCTGCTGCAACTCTGCTCCACACTCATGCATAGCCAGAAATGCCCAGTCACAGTGTGCGGTGACATACACGGCCAGTTCCACGACCTGATGGAACTGTTCAAGATTGGCGGCCCCAACCCAGACACAAACTATCTGTTCATGGGTGCGTCTCGCGCCGCCGCCACACCGACTGCATGCTGACCCCCTTAGGCGACTACGTCGACCGTGGCTACTTTTCTGTCGAGACGGTGACTCTTTTGGTGGCACTCAAGATCCGATACCCTCAGCGCATCACGATCCTCCGTGGTAACCACGAGTCCCGTCAGATTACTCAAGTCTACGGCTTCTACGACGAGTGCCTCCGCAAGTACGGCAACGCCAACGTTTGGAAATACTTTACAGACTTGTTCGACTACCTGCCGCTTACCGCGCTCATCGACAACCAGATCTTCTGTCTCCACGGCGGTCTCTCTCCCAGTATCGACACGCTCGACAACATCAGGGCGCTCGACCGCATACAAGAAGTGCCTCACGAGGGCCCCATGTGCGACCTGCTGTGGTCCGACCCAGATGACAGGTGCGGTTGGGGAATATCGCCCCGTGGTGCCGGATACACTTTCGGGCAGGACATCTCGGAGGCTTTCAACCACAACAACGGCTTGACCCTCGTTGCACGTGCTCACCAGCTTGTCATGGAGGGATACAACTGGTCGCAAGACAGGAATGTTGTAACTATATTTTCGGGTAGGACGCTCCGTCTTCAGTGGATGGCTTCAACGACTGACACTTTGCAGCACCAAACTACTGCTACAGATGCGGTAACCAGGCCGCAATCATGGAGATTGACGAGCACCTCAAGTACACCTTGTGAGTATCCTTGGTCGCTGCACGCCCTGAAACCGTCTAACTCGTATCCCAGCCTGCAGTTTGATCCTTGCCCACGAGCTGGCGAGCCCATGGTTTCGCGAAGGACTCCAGACTACTTCCTCTAGACGAACCTCAGCCGGGGCTCTTGCCTGCAAATCTGAATATGGTCGCACATGGACACGATCCCGAAATATACGTGTACGATTGCGTTTCTGTTGACAAAGGCTGTCCCTCGTTCCAATGCACAATGCATGACATCACCATGTCCAGTCCGCGACAGGATTGTTGATGTCAACAAGGGCACTGACGCAGCCACGCTCGAGTCGCCTAGAGTGCCCGTCGTACGATACCTTAGCCATGCGTCATTGGCGCAAAGATAACAATAATGAGACCTGGTCGCGCTGCTTAGATATGAACTGTATTGGATTCGTCTTGTTTTCGTATTTCTAGCCTGTCGTTTTTAAGTCTGCCTGTGGATGCTTTGTAATCGAGTGATGTCCTCTCGCTTTTGCTCTTCTTATGCAAGGTATGAATTGGCTAATGAGAGCACCAGTGAGTGATGTACTGGATAGTACCGCAGAAAGACCGATGCATATCAGGTCCATGCGAGCAAACACGACGATTCGGTACCGTATCCTCACAGAAGACGATGATGCATAGACCCAAATTCCGCCATATGAGATAAGCGACCCAGCTGGCTGGATGACACACGGTGCTTTTGTTTGGGTATGCCGTAATCAACCTACACTTCCCATCTGGCATAGACGCCGTCTTCCTTCACTACAGCGATGCAGCCATCTTTTTTCCAGCCCCACTGCCATGCATCCTGGGCCAAGCCGGCTTCGATACGTTTGGCATTGGTAATAGTGTATGTGCCGGCACCAACGTTCGCTTGTGGAAGCCTCCCAAGCGCGAATTCAAGTCTGAGACATACGACGGCATACCGCGGCATTGCAACCCACAACTGTGATCGCATCGTATATCCGCAATGGCATTGTACCCCATCTTCACACAGCAAAGCATCATGGAACTTTCAACCCGGCTGTCAAATTCAGAGTTATTTGTCACTTGGCAAACTTTGCCTTGGAAGATCGTGGAAAGCCATCTTTCTCTCTTGCCGTTTCTCCCATGATCGCGCCGGCTACTCTCCACTACACCTATACATAGAAAACGGTACCCAAAAAGGCATGTCTACGCGATCAAGTAGCTCTGCTTGAGCTGCCGACGTGCCTTACTGCGGCAAAGCCCCAGCAGACAAGTATGCTAAGGCACGTTAGGTTTCCAAACGCCCATGATGCAACAAAGGCCGCTCCGCTAGCCCCACATAACTTCAAACAGACAACAACAAGGCGCCACGCTGCGCTACCCGTTGTAACCATTCCTACGCTTGGCAAACAAGGTTGTCAAACAACGTTTAGGTGGAGAGGTGCTACACCTCGGCCCTCCCTACCGCATCACTTTGCTTATGAATCCATATTTTCCCCCCTTGTCCCATGGGTGGTGGTGGGGGGGAGGTTGGCGGCGACTTTCTGAGGGGAGACAACCTCAGGCCATATCGGCGCAGGTTTGAGCATGTGATTACGCAGGAGGAGTTATGGAGATGGGGCGCGAGCGAAGACGGGGGGGTTCATTGGGTCGAGTAGAGTAGTGTGGTGTATGTGTGGGATTCTGGCTGTATCAAAGCAAACGTTATCTCTCCACGGACGCTGCAGGGCCAGGGAGAAGAAAAAAATTCAGACTGAAAGGAAGCTAGGGTTAAAGCAGAAGAAGAAGAAGAAGGAGCAGGAAAAAAAGGGCGTAAAGCTGAGGTATATTTGGATCTGAGATATTTGAGGCTATCGGCACCTCTCTCTCTCTCTCTCTCTCTCTCTCTCTCTTTTCTATTGAAGTCCTTTTCCTCTGCATTCTCTTTCGCATCATTCTCTTTCCTTTTCTTCCTCCTTCTCCTTCTTCTTTTTTTTTCGCCTACGCAAGCCGTAGACCGGTCTTTACCTTAATCTCTACTCTTTCTCTACTACAGACTTTCTCCAAGTCTAAGGCCGTTGAGCGGTTTTGAACTTTGTTACACACACACACGCCTTATACCCCCCAAGAACCCACTTGATATACCCGCATTGTTCCCGCACCACAAAGCCCAGGGTTTTTTTTATTTTATTATTCACGAAGATGAAGTCGTTTATCTTGACAATCGCTTTTGCCGCAGCCGCTACTGCATTGCCTGGCCCGTCGTTCCGGACTGTCGATGGACTGCCTCCGATCAAGAGTACGTCTTCTTCTTCTTCTTCAACTTAGCCAGCAGAGCAAGAACAATGGACCTAACATGACGTTTTCTCTCCATCAAACAGGCAACCCGCTCCGCCGCGCCAACCAAATCATCCCCGTGATAGTCGGCGGCCCGCAAGTCGTCTTCGTACCCAACAGCATCACAGCGGCCGTCGGCGACATTGTGCAATTCCAATTTTCAAACGGCAACCACACCGTCACGCAATCGACGGCCGACGCCGCCTGCACGCCCATGAAAGGCGGCGTGCACAGCGGCCACATCCCGTTTGTCGATGGCCAGACCGACGTCGGCACTTTCAACATGCCCGTCACGAGCACCGCGCCAATGTTCCTGTATTGCGCTACGGGCCCGCATTGCCAGCTCGGCCAGGTCATGATGATTAATGCGAGTAATAACACGCAGTTGGCCGAGTACATGAAGAAGAGCCAGCAGGCGGCCGCGAGCACCGATGGCACCAGTGTTGTGGGGGGTACGCCTGGCAAATTGGCTTTGGCGTCTGCAGCGTAAGTTTTTCTGATTCATGTCCCAAGTTTCAAGATGAAATAGTTGGGAGATGCTGATTTTTGTCGTGTAGTTTTGTGCCTGCGCCTCCGGAGGCGGCTGCTGGTCCTCCTCCTCCTCCTCCACCTGCTGCTGCTGCTTCTTCGGCGCCAGCGGCTGCAGCTCCTCCTGCTGCTGCGTCGCCTTCCGCTGTGCATGTAGCAGTCATATGATCTAGTATTGCAGTTAAGAGAAAAAAAAGGGTACGCGAGTCTGGCTATCTGACTTATGAGTTGAATGAAAGAAGTGAGAAAAAAACAGGGGTATGGAGAGATTGTTTGTTATTCGATATACATATAACTATATATATATTTGAGCGAATTGAAGATGTGAAAGAAAAAAAAAGAAGAAGAAGAGAATGCATGATTTCTATTGCACTATACATGAGCCAAGTGATTCTAGTGACTGTTGTATATACAAACATTCCTACCGCCCGTAACGGAGCTGAAAAGAGGTGCAGCTTTAGCTGCTTTTGAATTATGCTAGGCTATTTAGAGTCTTGTGGAGCTTACATAGATTTTATATAATTAAATACATGAAATTGTTAGTATTAAAGCTTTGTTTAAATATATAAATACTCTTATGTCTAATAGAAAGAGTACGTTTTGACGTTCTAGCTATACTAGCTTCTCTGACTGCTCTGACTGCTCTGACTGCTCTGATTGCTCTGACTGCTCTGACTGTTCTGACTGCTCTGACTGCTCTGACTGCTCTGACTGCTCTGACTGCTCTGACTGCTCTGACTACTCTGACTGCTCTGGCTTCTCTGGCTATAAGTACTGGCGTTCTAGCTTCTCTGGCGCTCTGGCTGTTTTGGCCTTCGTCATATAACGAGAGCTTGGCGAAACTACTCAACCTTGAAAACAGAGATTCCTAACATCTCAGCACCCATTCGATAAATAACAGCAGAGCTTCTTAGAGCTAATAGGAGTCGATTCGGCCAACGAAGTCTTGCATTTCAAGCCCCTATGGGAAAGACATGGCTAAGCTAACACACGTGACTGATTTTAATATGCCGCTCAAGCTGCAATCAAAGCGATTCCAGTGATCCAAATGTCTGATTAAAACGTCATAGCTCTATTGCCTATGTATCATCATGTGACTATCCCAAACACCTATTTCATGCTCTGATATATACATGTACAAGCAAGCGTATGCAAAACCGCCAAAAAGAAAGTCGTTAAATTCCTCCCAATGTCTGAACCATTAGCCCGTCCTTGGGTCGTAAGAAATCGTATTCATGCCGGTGATACAAGAGTATGATTAAAAGCATAGAGATGTTGGCCCGTGAGACCCATTCAAGCGTCCAGGATTATTACAGGCACAGAGCCCAAATGAAGAATGAAACCAAAGCCAGTGTGCTGCTGCCTCCAAGATGCGAAGCAGCCCCTTCTCTTGTCTCTGTGGGCCGCGCTCCACTATCGGTTTGGCTGGGTTGATTCTCATCGCCGTTGGTGCTCTCGCCGCCGGGTGTGTTAGACCCATCGGAGACAATGTTGAGTTTTAGGTTCTGGACCTGCCCACCATTGGTGCCATAGACTTTCTGCTTGACGGTTGTCTCGCCGACATCGACCAGCCTCCCGTTTTGAGGGTTCTCAATACCGTTGTCGATCAGGTCCTGGCACCCAGGGCACACAGCCGGAATCGTGAAGTTCTTGCTGAATTCACCCGCAGTTATGAGACTATCACTGCACTCCGGGGCTCTAATATCGGTATCTTGAGGGTTGGCGGATTCGAGGGCGTTGATATCCAGTTCGTTAAACTGCTTTTGTAGGTTGTCGTAGTCTTTCATCAATTTGATAGAGCCATCCTGCTCAATCTCGACCAAGCCGTAGCCTGCCTCTTCCGCCGAGTACTCGTAAACGAGGCCGCCGGAGAGGTCCCTCATTTCTTGTCCATAGAGTGCCTGGACTTCATCGAAATCACGAGGGGTCTCGCGATTGCAGCCATACTCGCTGAACTGCATTCTTGTTAGTACTCTAGAAACGGCAGAATGCATAAAAAGCACTGGACTTACAAAGACCGGGATAGAAGAGTTAGCGAACATGTTGGCCAGGGTATCGTAGCCAGCGGTTTGAATGCTGTCGCCATTGCACCAGCTGTAAGAGTTGAGGCCAAAGAAGTCAGAGGACGACATGTCTTCGTCGTGAACGCACTGCATGTAGGCCCATGTGTCTTGCAGGATCTCGCGAACATCGGCAGCGGAATATCCGACCGGGATGGTGCGATTGACGTGGTTCTTGATATAGTTCTTCATGTCACGTTGAACGGCCTGTTTTCCGTGAGCCAATCATACAGAGATATTGTCACCACTCAAACTTACGCGGATGTACTGCGGGTTGAATTCGGCAGTGGACAAGTCGTTCATGACCTCGTTGGCGGAGAAGAAGCCAAGCGTGTTGGGGAAGTTTTTGAAATTCTCAATGATTCCAAATGCGCGGTTGAGGTAGTCGCTGTTGTACGAAGTCCATGGCTCGGCACGGTTAATGCTTTCACCTGGCAGGGGCGAATTGACGTCGAGCATCATATAGATGCCGGCGGCATTGAAGATGGAGGCGCATTTGGAGTGGTCGAGAGTGGGGTCAAGATTGTAGACTCGAAGCGTGTTCACACCCAGCTTCTGCATGAGGACGGCATCGCGCAGACAGACGTCGGCATTGGTGAGGGCATCTTCGCTGTTTTGGGGCTGGTATGCGCCTTGACCTCCCGGCTGGTAGTCGACACCAATGATCATCAAGCGCTTGTTGGTGACAGTGTCAACAAAGTCGCGGCCGCGAACTTCAACCGGGTTCACAGCATAGGCAATGGATGAGAAGAGGGCCGGCAGAAGCGCGGCGGCGCGAGTAAGCTGGGCAAATCAACAATTAGTGGTGTGGACGGGAGCGCAGCAGGGAACATGGGTGTTATGCATGCTCGCGATACATGGCTACTTACAGACGGCATATCAGCGAACGACGGTCGAGCAACAAGGCCGATGGAACGAAAGACGCAGAAAATCTGTGGGACGGGTGCTGGCGAGTCGAGGCAGCCTTATACTTGTTGCTATCGATGGTCGCCCGGCTGTGTCAGTATGGCAATCAACATGCACCAGCGCTAGTTGCAGGCAATCTTGGCTGTGGAGGATCAGCTAAGACGGATAGGATGCCGGGCACTGGGCTGTGATTCGAGCGTGTAAAAAACGAAGCGGCGCAGCGAACTACGTAGTCGGGCGGGCAGAGAGCGACATGCAAAAGAGGGGGTGGAGAGGAGAGAGAGGCTTGGGTTGGGGCGGAGCATGACGCATCTCGGGGAGCAGCGAGGAGGAGGAGGAGGAGGAGGAGATGGGCCATGTAACCAGCAGGGAGGCAGGCGTAATTCACGATAGCGCGCATGCGGAAGGTGTTGTGGTGGTCCAATCTCGGCAAGGACCTCGACCATGGCAACGCGAGGCAAGAGCGGGATGACCTCAGGACCCACGGCATGCCTTGCGAGCACTAGCGTCCTCGGAGTGCATCGCATCGTGAACAAGAGAAGCTTTGCTGGCCATGCCGATGCCGATGGGCTCCACCAAACACTTGTGCTTGCTTTTCCGAGCTGGCGGGCAGCGTGTGCAGTTGGCGAGCCGTGAGCAGAGGTTCCAGTGTGCGAGGCCAAGTGTGACGCCATTTGCTCCCCCCCAACCGGCCGCCCGTTTTCTGTCCTCATCTGTGCTCAGCCAGCGCCAAGAAAGTGTGCGACGTTGGGCCTATTACGGAGGTGCCTCACAAAAGTTTTGTCCCACGCTAATCTCGGCGCTTCGGCATAACTCTTCTTGGCGCAACTCCCACCTTTGAGCTGAGTAGCTGTACGATTTGTCTGTATCTATCGTTACAATGTCTCCTAATACTGATCCTTACACCCGCACCTTAATTGTGGCGTTAAAGTCACCTTCTGTTGGCAAGTCTACATCACAGATCTCTGAACTTACTGG